ACGTGTGAAGTTTATAAAAACATGCTCTAATATCATTTCTTTTATTGTTGATAGACCTTTTTATAGTTTCAATGTTGTGGCGAAGAACCAAAATAGACAACAACCAATATGGATTCTCCCAAAAGTATGTTGTTTTGAGCTAAATATATACTTTTAAATCTTTTTCAATAATTAAAGTTAATGTTTATAATCAAAATCTAATATTCAATTTTATATTTCATTTTGTTAGTACTGTTGTCAACAAAGGAGTGTTGAATGTGGATATTATGTCATCCGTTACATGAATGACATCATTGAGACATGGGTGATTGAGAAATTAGACGAGGTAAAGATAAGTTACATTGTATGTAATTCTTTAATTCTTTTCACATTTTTGATTAAGTTGACTACGTTATTTTTTATTTATAGGTATTTCAAAACGTTGTGCCATATCACATGAATGGAATCAATTTGATGAGGGACACTATGTTAACAATATTGCTACAGAATTTTGAAAATTTGAAATAGGTCATTCCTCAAACAATTCATAGTTAGATTTTTTCCCTCTTAGTTTCCCCCTATACATGTTCTTTAGTTCTATTGTGCAGATAGAATTCATTTAGCTTGTTATTATTTTTTGAATTATGTCTTTACTTGTTGTTAGGAGAAGTAGCAAGCTACTTCTAAGGTATCATCTTGTAGTTATAAGATTGATTTCTGCATGTCCTGCCTAGTTCCCTTGTAAGCTTTGTGCCTATGTTAAAAGAAATTTCAATACTTGCTGCGCTGCATGTATATATATTAACTAGCTAGTTGATTATTTGTTCATATGGTCATCTTGAAATAGTTCTGCATATTCTGCACTGCCTGGATTTATTTGGAACTGTAAATTGCAAGGAGGTAAAAAGAAATACACACAGTATTATTTAAAAAAAAAAAAGTTTTTAACTGCGGTTATTTAAATAATCGCCGTGAAAAGTCAAACTGTCGTGTTTTATTTACCTTTAAATGTTGACTGTATCCACTACGTCTCCAGAACCGCCATAAAAGACCCTTAATAACCATCGTTAAAAGCTTTTGTTTTGGCAGTGTGATTATTCTATTTCTTTTAGGTTGTAAGAGCGCATATGACTGAATAATTCCTTTCTTTGATACATTCTCTAGAAACACATATATTTAGTTGAGGGGGGACTTATGTTTAGTAGTTCATCAAATGATCGATGGAATTTGTATTTGTAATGATAGGGAGGAAAAAAAGAGAGAGAGAAGCTTCCCTTTCTTAGTCTGATAGTTAGTACTCCTCTGGTTCTTAATATAAGACCTAATTATTAAGTTCATTTTGGTCCTAAATATAAGATCTATTTATCATATTTATCAATTTTTTTCTAAATTATCCTTATAGATACTTCCTCAATCATAATCAAGTAGAAGAGGGAGAAAGGATATTAAGAAAGATGATTATATAATTTTAGAAAAAATATGTCATATTTTTTTTTGTAATTAACTAATTTACCTAACTTTTTTAATCTAATCAAATTAGTTAAATAGATCTTTTATTAAAGACCGGAGGGGTATTTGTTTACTAGATCCTTGATTTGGGAACACAATTCAACTGTCTGTTTGATGTGCAAATATAGTAAATATTTTTGTTTTGATTGTTGGAATGTTCTTCTCTGTTATGACCATTTTTTTTTCATTGCATGGATGTTTGTTAGGTTACTGACTACGTTGTAGCCAGATATAAAAACTGGAGCTTCATGGTCTTTGTGAAACTGCAAAGCACTAACAACGCAGGGACCATTTAAGATAAAGCTTCGAATCAGAACCTAATCTTGAACTAGGGAAATAAATAGGTGAATATATACTTTGAATCGTCGCATCGCACCTGAACTAGCTAATCTCTTCGAACCCAAATTCGAAATCACTTTCAAGAACAATTGTGGCTAATGGAGAAGCAAATCACTTTGTAGAAGTTTGATTCCCTCCGTGGAGAACCCCCTCTCCCTTAGTTGTAGAAACTGAACCCGTTGAAGCAAATCGAACTCCTCCTCATCCAAGCGGCCTTCCCTTTTGTTGCGTTCATTTCTGACGAAGATCTCAAGTTTCAACCACGTCTATTTTTCTGTTGGCCCTTCAGTGTGTGTGGTATGAGGAAAATGGAGGGAATGGGGGGCAAAGAAAAATTTTAATAAGTTTGATTTAAAAAATTAGAGAGGGAGGATTTTCAAATTTTAATAAAAATAAGATGTAAGATAAAAAATAATAAAAATTAACTAAAAGTTTTTAATCCTATTTTTTTAATTTTTTAAATTGAGTTTATTAAAATTTTTCTTCCCTTACTTTCTCTCCATTTCTTTCATGCCAAAAGGACTAAATATAAGGACTAGGGGTATTAACAGGTAAAGTGAAAGGATTTAAAAAAAAAAAGAAAAAAATATAGGCACTGAAGTAAAAATTAAAGAAATCTATAAGCATATGTAGAATGGTTTTTTCTAAATTTGATAGACTAAAATAAAATTTGATACAAACATGTATACTTTTGGCTTGTATTTTATTAAACATTCTATAAAATTTAAAAAAATTTAAATTAAATAAAAACAAAATTTGTCCATATAAAAATATTTTTTTACCAAATAAAGTAATATTAAAATTCCTCTTCTCCTCCTTTCTGATAAATGCAAACATAGTTTTTTTTTTGGAATACAAGAAAAGGCAATATTAAAAACTGAAAGGCTTGTGTATTTATTTTTTTAATTTTAAGCACAAATTTATAAAATTATTTTTCAGAAAAGGTCTTGAGGATAAAATAAGAAATCATATTTGAAACAGCAAAAACATCCAAAAGTTACATTTGGCTCGACAATGATGTGCAGCGGGCGATGAGTGCAAAAAAAAAAAAGGATTTCTCTGATTTTTCAAAACAAAAAATAGAAAATCCAAAAACAAAAAGGAAAATTGGTCAAGAGTCTCTCTTTGGCAAATTAATTGGCAAATGGCATCTGCAATAAATATAAACATGTGGGCCTCTTAAATGTTAGTAAGTGTGGTAGAAAAAAGATCATATTGTTTTAACAGATACTAATTGCATATGACGGATTCTCACTTGCATATCACAAATCTTAATTGTATATGATGGATACTTAGTTGCATATGAGATCTTATTGTATGATACAAATCTTAATTACATATCTTTGATTCAAATTTACATACTGTTGATTCTAATTACCTATTGTGGATACCTAGTTGCACATGGTATCTTATTGCATATTATGGATCTTAATTGTATATAATTGACCCAAAGTTGCATATTGATGATTTTAATTGCATATATGGATGCCTAGTTGCATATAAGATTTTATTGCGTATCACGGATCTGAACTGCATATTACTGATCCCAAGTTGCATATGTCTGATTCTAATTACATATTATGGATACCTAGTTACATATGAAACCTTATTATATATCACAAATTCTAATTGCATATCATTAGTCCAAATTTGCATATTGCTAATTTTAATTGCATTTATGCCACTATTCCCATAAAAAATTTGTACAGTACTCACAAACAAATTTTTATCTACAAACATGATAAAAATTGCATATTGATGATTTTAAATGCATATGTGGATGCCTAATTACATATAAGATTTTATTGCGTATCATAGATTCTAATTGCATATTATTGATCCAAAGTTGTATATGTTTGATTCTAATTACATATTGTGGATATCTAGTTGCACATGAGACCTTATTACGTATCACAAATCCTAATTACATGTCATTGATCCAAATTTGTATATTGCTAATTTTAATTGCATTTATACCACTATTCACATAAATTTTTTTTGTCCAGTACTCACAAACAAATTATTATCTATAAATTAACAAGATAAAAGTAGGATCCATTATATGCAATTAACATTCGTTGATAAGAATTTGTTCGTGAATACTGTATAAAGAAAGTTGTTTATGTGAATAGTAATATATATGCAATTAAAATTCGTGATATACAATAAGGTCTCATATGCAATTAGGAATTTGCAATATAGAATTAGAATCAAGCTCATGCAACTATGGATTATCAATATGTAATTAGGATTTGTGATATGTAATAAAGTTTCATATGTAACTAGGCATCTAAGTAAGCAATTAGAATTACCAATATGCAATTTTGGATTATTTTATGCACTTAGGACTCGTGATATGTAATAAGAGACCATATGCAATTAGGTATCTATAATATGCAAGTTTGGATCAACAATATGCAATTAGCTTCCATAATATGCAATAAAATCGCATATGCAACTAGATATCCACCGCATATAATTAGTATCTGTGATATGTAAATGAGGATTGATTATATGCAATTAGCATTTGTTAGGGCAATATGGTCTTTTCTTATCACACTTACTCACATTTGAGAGGCCCATAACTTTATATTTATTACATGTCGTATTTTCCAATTAATTTGTAAAAGAGGGATTTTTAATCAATTTTTCCAAAACAAAAGGAGGAAAAATTAAAAAATTGTCTTGATTTTTAGTTTTTAAAAACATATAACTATTTTCTTTCAAAATAATTGAAAACAAATTACTAAACAAGTTTTTTTATTAAGATATATCTAATACTCTAAAATATTTTACAATGCATTCAGTATTTCAAAATATTTTTTTGTGTATCCAACACCCTGAAATATTTTTTTATCTTGGTATTAAATACATTAAAAAATATTTTTGGATGTTGAACGCATCTAAAAAAACATTTTGTGATGCCGAGTACACCAAAAAATACTTCACAGTTCTGACCATATCTAAAAAATATTTCAGAATATAAGATGCATTATAAAATATTTTAAAGTATTAGATACATTCAAGAAAATACTAAGAAATGCTGGATAGACCTTAACTTTTTTTTTTAATTTTTTTTTAAAAAACAACAATTATTATTTTTTTTTTTTGGGTTGCCAAAACATGAAACCAGACAAACCTTCGAAGTTCGAACCATGTACCTCCACCCAACTCCCTTCTTCATCTTCTTCCTCGACTCCTTGTTAACCCCTCTCTCGTGCTGAAGCCGCTGGCATCTTCATCCCCGTGAACTCAAATCCCACAAGTTTCTCTAATTCCCCCACAACGACGGCATCGACTGCGTCATTTCATCCTCTTGCTCAACCGACTGTCCTCTCATTGCTCCATATATAAACCTATATCCCCAAATGTTACCCTGATCGCCGCCTTCACTGCTGGCTTCACCAGATTGTCCAGGTCGGGAGGTGGCTAAATCACGAGGCCAGATTGCCAGCTCCAGAGATGCGGTGCAGATCACGGTGTCCAATGTTGTGTTTTAGAGTGATCCCTATGCAAAGATCTCTCATCGGTTGAATTGCCTCAATTTGGTGCGCAAGAGTGACAACTTTTTGCCTTCACCACCTTCTAAATACTGCAATCATTTATATGGAAAGGAAAAGTATTTGCAAAGGGTTTTTTGGGCCCCTTTTCCAATGAAAAAGAAATTTTACAAAGAGAAGCTAATACAAGGTCTATTTCCTGGTGGGGTGCCAATGTAACAGGATAACTTGATGAATTTGATATTTGTTTGTGGTAGCCATTCTAAAGTCTTGCATGCCTGGGGGTGAGATTTTAGGCAGGTACAAGTGGAAGTAGACGGCCAGGCTGCTATCCAACTGCTGACTAGGAATGACAATAGGTTGGATTATACACTATACTTTCAGTCCTTGTTTTTCCTTTTCTCTTGTATTTTAATCGATTGCCTCGCTAAATTTCAAGATGACCATGTTGATTACTGAAAAAGTGAAAGGGTTGTTTGTTTAATATTGTTTTCCATGAATAGTCTCATATGCGCTCCAATTGACATTATTTCCATTTTTTGCAAGCATGCTAGTCATAATTTGCAAGTCATGTTCTTCGTTTATATAGAAGAAAAGATAGACTTAACTTGCCTGTGTGATTATGAGTTCCAGGCTTCCAGCAATTTTATCCTCGTGGTCCTTGGTTTGCAAGTCCATAACAGTTAATTTGCTAGCGAGATTCCTCAATTTAAAAAAGAAAAGGGGTTGTGTAACTTGCTAAAGTTACTATGGTTTGATACTCAGATTTCCTTATTCGCAACTTTATTACCATTAATTTGCAAGTGATAGTCATCTATTTATAAAGGAAAAGAGACATTTTTTAATCATGTGAACATAATATTCTTTTATCTAACTTATTCTCAGTATTCTGTCAGCAGGCCCAATATTTTAGTCTTTCACTATGCTGTCCATTTTAGAGTTAATACGGAAGCAACATTGGTCAGAGGTCAAAACACATCTTCGAGTCACTCAACCTACGATACTTCTTGAGCAATTGCTTAGTGCAGGAGTTGATTCAGAGCTTGTTCTTAGGTTCTATAAATGGTCTGAGAGAGAGTTCAAACCTTCATATGGTCTTGAAACCACTGGCAAAGTTTTACTTTCTTTATTGAATGCCAAAAAGTACTCTACAGTGAGGTCCTTTCTGGATGGTTTTGTGAAGAATGAAAAGCATCCAGTTTTCTCGATTTTTCATTCCATTTTGGTTTGCAGTGATCGAACTCATGCCAATGCTATAATAATTGATATGTTGATCCTTGCATATGTGAGAAACTCGGAACTCCATTCTGCTTGTGAAGCATTCATGCGAGCTCAAGATTATGGCTTTAATTTATCATTGAATTCTTGCAATCCGCTATTGAGTGCTTTGGTGCAGGAGAATAAATTTGGCGATGTGGAACAAGTGTACAAGACAATGATCAAAAGGCGGATTAAGCCTAATCTGACCACATTTAACATTTTCATTAATGGCCTCTGCAAAGCTGGGAAGTTGAATAAGGCAGGGGATGTTATTGAAGACATCAAGGCTTGGGGATTCTCCCCAAATGTTGTTACTTATAATACTCTTATTGACGGATACTGTAAGAAGGGCAAGGCTGGAAGAATGTACAAGGTTCAAGCTATTTTGAAGGAAATGCTGGCTAATAAAGTTTGTGCCAATGAGATTACCTTCAATACTATTATTGATGGTTTTTGTAAGGATGAAAATGCAATGGCTGCAACGAAGGCTTTTGAAGAAATGCTGAGACAAGGATTAAAACCCACTTTAGTTACATACAACTCATTGATAAATGGCCTTTGTAATAATGGGAAGCTAGAAGAGGCAATTGCTTTGTGGGATGAAATGGCAGGCTTAGGTTTAAAGCCCAATATTATTACTTATAATGCTCTTATTAATGGGTGTTGTAAGAAGAAGATGATAAAGGAAGCAACAAAGTTCTTTGATGATATAACTATTCAAGCGTTGGTTCCCAGTGCTGTAACATTCAATACGCTAATTGATGCTTACTGTAAGGAAGGAATGATGGAGGCGGCATTTGCACTGCATAGGTCAATGCTAGATGAAGGAGTTTTCCCAAATGTTTCAAGCTATAATTGCTTAATTGCAGGTTTATGTAAAAAAGGAAATATGATAGCAGCCAAGGAGCTTTTAAGTGAAATGGAGGATAATGGCTTGAGAGCTGATATAGTGACATATAACATATTAATAGATGGATGGTGTAAGGTGGGGGAATCAAGAAAGGCAGAAAAGTTATTAAATGAAATGTTTTATGTGGGTGTGATACCTAATCATATAACATATAATACTTTGATGGATGGCTATTGCATGCAGGGGAATCTCAGGGCAGCATTGAATGTGAGGACTCGGATGGAGAGAGAAGGTAAGCGAGCAAATGTTGTTACATACAACGTGTTACTTAAAGGATTCTGTAAAATATTGAAGATGGAGGCAGCTAATGGACTTCTTAATGAGATGTTAGAAAGGGGTCTGACCCCAAATCGGACTACCTATGATATTGTTAGAGTTGAAATGATGGAGAAAGGTTTTATTCCAAATATAGAAGGGCATCTATATAATATCTCCGGCATGACTTAGCATGAGCATGAGGTGTTAAATGGATTTCCATGATTGATGTGCAATTTGCTGTGGAGGATTGAGATTTCACAAAAGAGCGCCAGAAAAATTGAGAAGTTTTCTGGTTGGCAGCTACTGTTGCTGGGAAAATTCATCAAAAGAATCATATTCTTATTGCTGGCATCTTGTGGAGTTGGCCATAGGCATCAAAATTAGGGAAGCTGTTATATGTTGCATGTAATTACGTCTAGTTTTTAAATTAATTGAGAAAAGCGTCAACGCTATAAGAATGATCGCTTTTAGCTTCAAGTTCAGCAAGCTTTACCGTCTCGGGGTAATTTATCGCTCAACTTTCATGAGTTACAATTTTAGTTTTGAATATTTTAATAACTGCGCTGCGGCGTTCATGCGGGCATCCTCTATTGTTTATTTTGCTAGTGACTCATGGTTGTAATGGCTATTAAATTTGGTGGCTGTTGTGTGTATATTATCTTTTCGGAATTCTATGTCAAAATTTTTTCAAACTATTTTATTTTTGGTTTATTATAGCATATTTTCCCATAATTTGGTGTCTTGATTAACTCCATTGTGTGCTTTCGGGATAGGACACGTCTTTAAGGACACATTTTGCCTTCGGGAATAATTATCATAATTTTTTTTAAAAAAAATGATAGGGTTTTAATTCATTATTCTGCTGAAATCCATGAAAGAGATCAAAGGAATAAGATATAAAAGTTCTTCAAGTAATCTGATCAATCAAAACGCAGGTCTAACCCATAATATAAGAGTTTGGCCCAAAAAAACAAAATACCATTTTTTGTTCTAAACTAGTTATAAGTTGCATTTGATTTTAAAAATAAGATCTTAATTTATTTTGTCTCTTAATTTATAATTTATATTCTAAACTATCCCTATTGATTATATATATTGATAGGGTTTTTATTCAAAGGTAGTCATGATTAAATTGATATTTTAGAGAATTTAACTTATATTTGTTACAAATAACTAATTTAACAAATTTTCTTAATTTACTTAAATTAATTAAATAACTTTTATATTAAAGACCGGAAGTAGCATAAGAGAAAGTGCCGGTTTGAATCGGCGGTGAATCATCATGATTTTATAAAATCATAATTTCTATAAGTGACACCGATTAAAAGTGATGTTAGTTAACTATAATTTCTGTTTGGATACTTTTTCTTATAAGTCACATTGAGAATGTGGATTATGTTTGAAATTCATTTATTAAAATCACTTCTAAACATATAATTACCAAAAAGCAACAAGGGTATACAAGAGAAATATAATTTAATATAAGTAATAATTACTATTATTTAATTATAATTATAATTTAATAATAATTATTAATAAGAATAGATAGGAGGAATTCTAGTTGTTGAACCTCTATCATGATTTTTAAATCGTCAAAGCTATTCCGAATAATTTATGCTCAAATATGCAATTCGGACTAAAATTACAATTATGGGATTTCAAAAAGTTTAGCCAAACAGGGCAAATATATTTCATAATTACTTATTTGAGTTTAAGTGGATTTGTTTGAACTTCCACATCCTTTTTTGAAAGACCTGCATAAAAATATGCTACTTATGTAAATAAAACCAACGTAACAGTAGTATTTATATCATTTGTGGGTGCATAGATAACTGGATGATTTTTCAAGGCAAAAAAACCCGACCAATTAGAAACAAAAATAAATGGAAACATAGTGCTCAGCCAAATAGGCACAAAGGCAGAGATGATTTCAGAACGTCCCTCTAAGCATTCGGATCATCACTATTCATTTCTGAGCTATATCCACTGGAACTTGACATTGAAATGCATATATGTTATATTTCATCCAAAACTTAAAGGATCACGTTTCTTCGTCACAAGGTCTTGCTTAACTTTTGATTTCTCATCATTAAATTCTAAGGGGAGCAATATTCAGGAGACTGGAGTTGCAAAGCATTGCAAATTAATTCAAAGGTATGTTACTGGCCATTAATTGCGGCCTCCAAAAACTCTGGTCCAGTTCTCGTAGCCGAAACATGCATAAGCATGCAGTCAAAACCACACATCAAATGGATAAACAGATGTGATAGGGCTAAGGAACATCAGAACTAAAAAACAAAGGGGGCAAGTATTTGGTACTTTAAAAAAATCATAATCCAAGTCAAATAGTCAAAATTAGGAATCTATGACGAGGGGCTTCAAGAATTACTTTGAGAAGAACAAATCTATGTCGTGGAAGCAGCACAACACCATGTCAAGGATTGAAAATACTTGAACCTCCAATATTGATAGCAATTAGGATTGATATGCTAGTAATCACAGCAAGCCAGAGTAAGGCTAACCCTGCAATTGGAAGATCAAACTGTCATCATAAATGTAAGATAGCATAAATAAATATTGAACTTTCAATAAATAATCATGATAAATGAGGTTTAGCAGGAAATCTGTAAATATTGTACCTGTCGAACCTTCAGAACTATCAGAATTTGAAGGATTTGGTTCCACATTAGGACTGGACCTTGAAACATTAGACCCTGTACTTAAGCTGTCACCCAAAGTTTTGGCATACCCTGTTTCAGATGCCACTATACCTTGGAATTCTTCACTAACAATTAATGCTGCCAAAACATCCATAAATGACTCTCTTTCACTCATAGCATCTCTTTCACCCTTCTCATCAGTACCACTTGATTCCTCTGAATCAGACAACTCATCATCTGAAGCATCTGTATCAGTGGAGTCGGTCTTGTCGTCTTCCTCATCCTCCACATATGCTTTATAAGTTAGTCGTAGCAATATCTCCCCTGAAGAGCCCTTTCCCAAAATCCCCCAGCCACCTTGCAAAACCACAACCCGGTCTGTTGGTACAGTATCTTGGAGAGATCCCAGATCAATCTGTAAGCATTTACAGCTATTAAGAACACATCATAATAATGACACATCCTTTAAAATGAATTGTAGGAGTATAAAATTTGGAGCATGAGAAAGAGGTAATCAGGTATGGAGAAAGTGTAGTTCAAATTTCCTTTGATTTGTCATTGTGAAAATCAAACCTGAATATTAGCTTCAAGGACAGAGGAGACTTGGGCTAGGAGACCTTTTTATATCTGTCCTCGTTTACTTTGGTTGTAGATATACTAAGTGATTTTATATTCAAAACTCTTGATGGAGACTCAGCTACTTATGAGGTCATTCAGCTTTAATTTGTTCCACAGTCTGTTCTGACAAACTTCAATTATGACATACTTCAGATCAACAAATGGCTTCCAAATGGATTTAGAACCTCAAGTTAAAAATAAATAGACAACTTGAGCAATAAAAGAGGGAAAACAAGACAACAGCGCGGATATTCATGAAGCTCTTCAAAACTTATGAAAGACTCCCTCTATTCCTGGGGCCATTATAACAAACTGGAGAACAGCACCAGTGATGAGGCAGGCACAGAACCTCTAGGACCTGTGGTAACCTTTCTATTGGGCTTCTTCCTTGAATGGACTACCTAACTATCCAATAGTGGGCATGCTTTGATAGAAGGTTGTCCGGAAGATTGAGTATGGATTTTGTGTCAAGAAAACAGGGAAAGCAAGAGCCAGGACGGAAAAAATAAGGAACCAATCAATTCATAAGGAAAATATAATTTTTGAGAGACACAAAGACTGTATTTTAATGTCGATTCTTAACCTTTATTAATAATAGTAACACAACAACCACAGAAAAATTATCCAGCCCACGACTTTAGCTGGACCTCAAGTAATTAACCCTTTAATCTACTGGACTCTTCTAAAAGGAGTCCATTTGCTGGCAACTGGCTGAAGCCTACAAAATTTAGAAGTTTCAAAAACCAGAAGTAAAGAAGCTGATGTGTAATTGTAAATTCAAATATTTTAAAGATTGCAAACGGTTACTAACCGTTAGGAGCGTTAGTTAGTAGGCATTAGTTGTCAGGCACTTCATACTTCAACCTAGGCCTATAAATAGATATGAAAGGGTACCCAATTGTACAGTATTGATTTCATGAATATACAGCGCACTATTCAGTATGCTCTCTGTTTTTCCCTTTCTCTTCTCTCTTGGATCACCCCTCCTCTGATTCTCTTCTCCTAATTCCCATCTTTCTCCATCTTTCTCCTTCCCCGAACCCTCTTCTATATCTCTTTTCTATTTCTATCCTACCAGAAGCATCACTACTTGAGAACCAAACACGACTGCAATTACCGGGACTAGAAATAAATGCTAGTTAACTAAGTAACAAATTTCTAAAATAAATTACTATTTAATAAGTTAAATATTGCACATAAAAAAATTGTTAACTGTAAATCACATACCTCACCAGTTCCAGCAGTCAAATCCATAAATCCCAACGAATCCTTTACTTGGATGTGTAATTTCTGCTTCTTAGGGTTAGTGACAAGCATATGAAAATCCTGTCAAAGTTTATAATACATGAGCATGAAGTTTAGGATAAAAACATGGCAACCACACATAAACATGCATAAAGATGAATCAGAAAATCAAGCAACCCACACCTGGTTCCAAATTGGCATACCAGGGGGACCAAACACAGTAGTTTGACTGTTCTTTTTGCTTCGAATAGTTTGATCTCCAAGGGTAAGAATAACATACGGATCCGTCTTTCCTGCCAATGAAGTACATGAATGAGGATAGTACAATATCAAGAAAAACATATTGCATTTTTATTGCATAAGTATTGCAGATAGGAATTAGAAATGGTAACGATGGGGGATACAATAAAAAGGAACAATGTGACTACAGTTCACTCACAGATGCACATTATTGTTAGGAATCCTGTAATTATGGACCTATTCATTTCCTTTTTTGCTATACAGACTTACTCATTTTCTGATTAGTCTTATTTATCGCATTGGATTTTAGCATCCAAGTCAACTACTGATAAAATGCTTACATAGTATTATTCATCAGAAAAGCTTTATATTTAAAACAGAGACCTCTAGGACGTATACTACATTGTCATTGCCTGTAATTATGAGAATCCCTAAAATTATGCGTATATTAATTACAAGGACATTCCATGACATCAACACATTTACTTCCCATTCCATTTCCTTTTGAGAATTTAGTCATTCCTCAACAGCATTTTTTTATTTTATTTGGGGGCTGAAATAAATGTCAGAGCAAAAATATTTCCATGAAGAAAATTTCATTACAAGGGAGACAATACGCCAGTTAATAAAATCCAGAATCAGAAAGAAATTTACTTATTAACGGCAAAAAGTAAAATTAAGACAGAGCTTTTACCATAGAAAAAATAAGAAAGCTTTCTAGCATCAACAAGAGTGACGGATAGTTCGCCAACAAAATCCTTGTTTCCGTCTTGCAATTCTCCAGATTTTACATAATCAGAAAGAGGACCAACAGCTTTTCCCTTCTGGAAATCCAATACAATTTTCTTTGGACGTACAAATAGCCGAGGTAAATCTTCAGTGAGGAGTTTTGTCAAAAACCTACAAGATAAAAACCAAAAACATTACCTTCCTATCACAAAGCTTTCAAGATAATGTTCAAATATTAAAGCCATTTCAAAAACAAAAATATAATACATGTGATAACAACGTATAAATCCAAGTTGAAAGGAGGAAAATTTTCAAACTATGCTCTTGAGAATTGCTCAAGCCCAAATAAATATTTTTGCAACTTCTGCATGAGGTTGTTGTTATTGGATTTCTTCAACCCTAGAGTGGCAAGCTTCCTCAAGTCACCATTCATTCTTGACATCAGGTTAATGAAGCTTCCAATCAAAGATTAACAGCTACAAGTAGCAGCGCCCAGATTTATTTTGCTTTGCTACATGAGCCAAGATCTCTTGATATTCTATTTCACATGTTTGAGTGAAGCCTTCCATCAGTCTTGCTTTATGCCGTCCAAGCACCACCATCAGCTTTGTACTTCACATTGAACACGCATTTTTAACCCACAAGGTATTTCCCTCGAGGTCATTGAGTGAGGTGGCACGTGTAATTTCTTTAGGAGCCCAGAGCTCTTCACACACGAGCTCTCTTGACTTAAAAATTGCTAACCCATCCCCACCCCCCCCAAAAAAAAAAAAAAAAAAAGCTAACCCAAAATTGAGAAAGCACCTAAACTAAACCATTTTATTTTGTCAAGACAACAAGTGATTACTGGTTACGAGAAAAGAATGCAAGCACTATTACACGTCATCTCCATATTAAATCTGGTGATATTATGATCATGAGAGAGAATCAGATAGGAAGAACAAGAGAGATAGAATGATAAGAAAGTGTCCTTAACTGTCATAACTCTATAATTCCTCTGTTTCAAGCTAATATAGACAGCATCAAACACGTAAACAACCACATACACCAAGAATGTTTTCATAGAAATCCTATGCAATGAACTTTTTAACATCTTTTTGCCATCAAAAGAATGAACTTTTAACATCTAAAAGACAATGGGGACTTACATTGAGAGAACTGGAATTGCTGATCAAGTCCGATGATATACAAGAAAAGAGATGAAAGTGTCAGTAAAATAAGATGTAGGAAAATAGCGGACGTTATACACTAAGCCATGAATGGAGATTAGATGCAAGAGCTATAGATCTGTAAAAATCATGAAAGACTCTCTTTGCACTCTTAAATTGTAAGATCTGCTAATAGAAGGGGGATTTGGGACATCATAGCTACTTAACAAGTCTTCAAATTCACAAGCTGACCGGGAGAAATCCAACTAGTGTTCAAAACACCCGTTCCCTAAATTATGCATTATAGCCCTATCACAAAGCCACTACACGTACAAGCTAAATGCTACAATAACCATAAATAGTTACCCCGTCTTTACAAAACAATTTCAATCCAACATAACTTTTGAAACATGTTTAGCAAACCCAAGCTTATGATATTGATCCAGCTTAGATGTGGCAGTCCATGTCTCCTGGTATGATGAAATATGACTATAGTTACTAGTTTTATGTTTCCTTGGATCTTCAACCATGCAGTGTAGGTTATTTGGTTTTAGGTGGGGAAGGCTGGATGCAGACCTCGTCAAAGGAGGATTTGTTGTAGGTAGGCAAGAGACAGATGCACTTTGTTTGCCATTACTTGACGTCTTTAAAATGAATGGAAACTCAAGAAACTTCAAGAATCATATACAAGGGTTACTCTGCAGAAATTTTTCATCTTGTTTAAAGGATTGCCTATCCTCCTGTTCATAATTTTTTTCCATCTCACTGAATGAAGTTTCTTTTTCAATCCAACGCTAACACTAAAATTAATAAAAAAATGAATTAGAAAAAAAATGATAATAGTGCATTACAATTTTGATCTCCTTTGTTTAATGGGTTAAGGTGCGTCCAGCACCCCGAACTATTTACCCAGGTGCGTCCAGTGGCCTAAAGTAATTTTGGGTGCATCTAGTGTCCTAAACTAATTAAAATGGTGCGTTCATATCTCAGGCTAACAGAAATATTATGTTTAACTGTTACTTTCTTGACTCAGCTTAAAGTTGACCCCAGATATTTTACATGGTAGACACATGGGCACCCGATGTGTATTATTCTTACTCAAAAGACAATTTATTTAGAAGAAGAGGAAGGAAATAAATTCAATTTTGAGTAAGAATAATACATATCAAATGTCCATATGTCTACCATTTAAAATATTTGGGTCAACTTTAACTGAGTCAGGAAAGTAACAGTTAAACATAACATTTCTGTTAGCCTAGGATATGGACGAATCATTTTAATTAGTTTAGGACACTGGATGCACCCAAAATTACTTTAGGCTACTGGACGCACCTGGGTAAATAATTCAGGGTGCTGGGCGCACCTTAGCCCTTGTTTAATTAGTGGCTATAAGAACAAGCAATGATGTTTAACATCTACTTAACATGTGGGGTTGCTACTTGAATCAAGAAAATATAAACTTAACACTGAAATCCTTTTGATTTATTAAAAGAATGTTTTTTGTTATTACAAATCATGCAACCCTAGAGTAGAGGTATATCAATTAATAAGCACAAGGAAATTGACAACATCTTGGATAAACACCATTAAGGCAATGTTTAACAAGCAGGCATTCTAATTCCACCAGAATTATTTCATTTCCCCTTTCCTCTAGCCTCCCTCACAATCTTTTTATTTATTATAGGTTATCAAGCCCTAAAAATATCAATTCTAGTGTAATTGTTTGTGGAAGCAAACATATGAACATAAATATAAAAAATATAATCTCTTAAGGCCACAAAATTATAACATACCCATTAAATTGAATAAACGGAATGGTGACAACTCAAACTTGATCTTTGGAAGTGAAACAAAAGCCCATGAAACAGCTCCCACCCAAGGCTCCGTTGGGATTAGTCGCAATTTTACCCATAGTTCACCATCAATGTCAAAATCTCGAACCCCAACAGGCACAGCAATTGGGAAAATGCCAAATTTTAGCGAAAGCATCAGCAGCATGCGAGCACCACCGGTATACCTAAGGCCTATTTGGTACCTAAATTAAAAGACATGACAAAAGAAACTTAACAGGTTATATGAAATAACGTTATTGTACAGAGTAGGTCCAATTAATTTCAGCATACAACTAAGTCCCTATAATTTACTCCCTTTGGTCATTATCTCACATAGGACTGGTCCTAAATATAAGCAGCATTATTTTGTCTGAAATTCCATTTTCCCCCCCATTAAATACATGCCTTTACATTAGTTATCACACATTCTCTCTCACTCCCTCTCTTCATAAATAAGGGTATGTTTGGAAACTAAATTACATTTTTGACACATTTATTGCTTTTAACTACTTTTAACTAACATCTTGATCTACAAGATTTGGTTAATTGTTGCTTATATAGGACAAGAGGAAGTAAAACTTTGTAAGAAGGTTTTAATGGTTTTCAACTTTGTACATGGGACTTGACGTGGCTGTCTTGTCACACACCCTTTAACATATTGATATTATTTAGGCACTCGGCAACACATCATGTTGAGTGCGAACTCATTAATTCGTTTACAAATCTATGATTCATGGGAACAACCCAATTACTTTGAAGCTATAAAACCAAAATATAAATTGTACTGGGACTAGTTTGAATTTTGAAAAGAAAGATAGAAAAAAAAAGGACTAATGGAGTAATAAATGCCAATGATATCAAGCATAACTAACATGACAAGGAAAACCTACAAATACATATTATAGCCTTGCATATCAAGCTGATAACTTTAGGCATACCACTCTTTAGATTACTCCACACTGTCAGCTCAAAAAAAGATTACTCCACACTGATCCGTAACCGCACAAGGCATGGCCAAAAGCATTAACCAAAAGAATTTCAAAACCACTTGAAACACATGCTAAAAGATTGATTTTGATGTTTGGCAGCCACTAAAAGATTTGAGGCTTCAGCAATTTAAACTTAAATTTCATCATGGAGCAGGATACACTTGTAAAATCCTTTTTTTCACGCAACAGAATACACTTGGCATTATCCGACCAAATCATAATACCCTCATTTGAATCAAGAAATGTATTGTTGCTAACATGGTACTGAAAAAAAGTCGAAAATAAGATGTGATAGACTCAGAGATAGGGAAGCAACACCTGATGCTGCAATATATGACAAGAAGCTGTAGGAACAAACTGATAATTTGATGATTGCAAGATTCTTTGTGAAATTTAGACAAGAAATAAGAGAAAAGAAAACAGAGGTTGGAGGAGGGGAAGCCAGTGTTACAGAGAAGTGCTAGGAATACTTAGGCCAAGGGCACGCTAGTTCCAACTTGCAAGATTTAAACGAATCAAGAGAGGTATGCCTTTTTGAAAAATGACACATCATTCACAATACATGAAGTTTGAAACTTCTTATGACTTCATGTATAATACTTAAAGAGCTAAGCTAAAGAACCCATCAACGTGTAAAGGAAACAACGTATAATCACACAAAAATGTGTTCATTAGGTGATATTTGTAGAAATAAATGAACTTATGGGGAAGAGCGAAATTATGTGGCCCAAACCACTAAAGGAATCATACCCCATATCCAGTGAACCACTTAGGGGCTTTCCATGACTAAAAATTTAACATGAGAAGTTGGATTTTGGTATAGGAATTATAGGTAAATATCAAAAATATGTTTTTTTAATGAGATTAGGAGTATATTAATTAAGTGTAAATTAGGATTGGATTTTAATATACTAATGTGTTTTATTTTACATTCTATAAGGATTTCATCAGTTAAGTTATTTTGTGAGCTTTAAAATCTTTTGTAATCTTACACATTAACTGTTATCTTTTGAGCTCTATATAAAGCTCTAAGTAATAAGGATTAGGGGAGGCTATCTCGATTGATTATTAATAAAATCTTCTCAGCTCATTACTCTTTTCGTCCCAAATTCTACATATCTCTCCTACTCTCTCACTTTATTTCTCTTAAACCCCCCCCCCCCAAACAAAAAAAACACACACACAACCCGCTCTTTCATTTAAGCTTTGCTACTGGGCCTACATAACATGTTTTGCAAAACCGAACTCAACGTTTTGTCCTCTAATTATGTCCTCGCCATCATTTCTTTTATCAAATTATCTCTCCCACTGCAATAAATGGACGTTCATTTGATTGGTCGCTATTCCAAATTTTTTTCCCAATCAAAGTTACTGTTCCAAATTCACATAAAATTTTGCACTTCGAAGATGATTTCCGTCTCACTGAGTTAAGGCAACTCTTTCAACTAGATCAGAAATTGGATAATGACTGAAGCAGAATAAAGATGAAGGAGGCATATGAGAACAATTTTCAGCCAATCATCAATATAATGAAATAAACAGAAAATGTCGTAGAAGCATATGAAAGCTACAGCTTACTGCAAATCATTTGCCCGACGAGAAGTCCTTCGCTCCACATTTCTAACTGATAATGGCTCATCCCCCAGTGAGAATTGCTTTATCTCAACCCTCTCTACGTAATCCGGTTTCTTTAAGTCGTCGATAACAGGCTGAAGCAGTCCGATGATCCAATTTTCAATCCCAGCTCTGTAGACCTTCCACAATTTCACCAACACCATGTTCACCCATTCAACTGACTCTTTTCTCTGCAAATCCTTCTCTAGAAACAATGAAAAGCTGGTGGGCACCTGTGGCCACACACCACGACGGGTGTCTACGCTCCCAACTTTGCTTCTCCTCCTTGAGGTCCAGAGCTTATCAAAAGCAACCCCAACAAAGAAAAAGAACACAAACAAGCCAACCACGTTACGGTTAATTGGTGGCGATGGTATCGGATGTATCACTCCCAGTTGGGTTCTTAGCTTATCTACAATAGGGTCTTCTCGGAAATTGGTAAAGTTGGAGCTCAACTGAATCGGCGATTCTTGGGACAATTCATCCCCCTCCAATTCATTAGAAACCCGTTTCAAGACGAAAGTTTTTGCAGCCCTTCTCGTAGAATTTGCGAATTCTGCATTCCAGTTTCGGTTAGAACCATCTGTGGGTATTGCGCACAGGCGAAACCCCCATTTCCTTCGAAATTTTCGATACCCTGAATTGGCAAATAATCCTTTCCTTCTTCTTCGAGACATGGGAAACGTCAGAAAACTCTGGTTCCTTGAACCATTAATCGCACTCAAGTTACTACATGGGCAAACGTAAGGAAATATCTGCAAGAAGTCAAAGCTAGCAGAAGCAGATTGTAAAATCATCTAGTAGCTGCAGTGTAAGTCTGGAAGGCCCAATAGCGAAACGGGCATAAGAAATAATAAACTTAAACATGAATCCAATTCAAACCCAATCCTGGATTGGAGGTGTAGACTTAACAGGTCCTCCCAAAGTTACAGCAGCCAGAGGTATATATAGCAGTTATAGAATGAACTTGATTGTTGAAACTTGAAAGCCTGGAGTCTACCACAATCGTAATCTAGAAAGCTTAGGATCTTGAGGAAATGAATTCTGACGTGGAATTGAAAAGCTCATCAAAGAGGGAATTTTCTCTGCAGAGAGAGAGAGAGAGAGGCCGGGGTGCGAGTGGGAGGAAAAACGAAAGTGGAATGAAGCCTCGGAGCACGTTTTATGATTGTGGGAAATTTGAAGCAGTGTTCATGGCCTCAAAACGAGAGAACGTGGATAATAGCTTGGCTTTGAAATTTCTCATCATTTTTAATTAAATTTTACTTTATTGAATTGCTTTTGGACGATTGCGCACGTGGGTCGGAGCCGACGCGGGGAAATTATAATCAAATTTCACATAAAAAAATAATTATCTGTTAATAATAACTTGAACAGCTTATAATGTAAATCTCATAGTAAGAATAACAACTCTGATACTTATTTTTCAATTATTTTTTTACTTGAAACCTTATTGTAATTCTTCCTTCTACTTTCCTTACCCCTGACAAAAAAAAAACCAAAATTATCGTAAAAATAATTTGAATTAAATAAATTAATTAATATTTTGACGATTTTACTCCAATTTTGTCAACTCTCTGAATTTTCTCCCTTTCTATTAAAGTATTTTTTTATTTATTAAACTATTTCGATTAATAATATTTCCGATATTAGTCAAAAGGCTTCAATTACAGAGCACAAAAAAGATGATAATTTAAGGGGAACAAAAGGAGAAATTTTTCTTTAAATTTCTAAACTTATATGCCCCTTGATAGTAAAGAACTAGAGTTATACAAGTGAAACTAAGATATTTATATGTTTTGGTTGGCTTGAACTCACTTGCTTATATAATTGGATTCTATCAAAATTGGTGGAATTCAATTTCTTCTCACCCCTTATGAAAGTGATGAAATTATATTTTTTTGAATCATTATATTTCCTATAATTTATGGTATTGACAATTTTTGTTCTTTCATTTGCAACCCTTTATAATTTAAAAGGAATGGGCATTTAGATGGTAGAAGTAGGATTGGAGATGAGAAATTTAGTAACAGAAGCAAGGGAGGGTGAGCTGAGGATGACACAGGCAAAAGCGGTGACCAGGCCAAGTGTCTTGACGGTGTGTGCAGAATAGAGCATTGGCATGGTGAGATCACAACTAAACTTCTATAACGCAAGACTAATTATTTTTTTCCATAAAAATATTTTTGTTATTAATTTTTATATATAATTATTTTAATTTATAACGAACAAGTAAATCCATTCTAGCAAAGGCTGATTTCGTCTCTTTTATTCGAATTTTCAATGTGTTCTTAATTCCTGCAATCAAGTGAAGTTTCATGACAGCTTTGCTCAGAAGAATGACTCGAACATATTCTCAATATGGCACCGCCGCCATGTCATAATTTCATATTACTCCTGCATTATGCGAGTTTAGAATTCATTCTTGGGTTCGTATTGGAGCATAGATTACAATTTTATATGCAACAGAGGTAATTTTCAATATTTTTTTTTAGACAAAACCATTGGAAACAATCCGGTTCAAGAAGCCATTAAACACTAAATATGAACACCTCTCTTAAACATTAATTTCTCATATTATGGGAAACTAACCATTCCAGTAAGCCTAATCTCGTTGGTAATTTTCAAGTTTTTTAACAACAATAAATAAGAGCCAACGTAAGAATATAAGATTAATACTCTCTAGACCAGTAAATTGTGTTGCGGTCTTTGCTGAAACCATGTTATAGTGTCAACACAGCATGAGAAACGCCACCCTTTATTGATAGTTCGCTCTCCCGTGTATTTAGGAACATATATCAGTCAATCGGATTTCCAGCCCTCGGTCCACTGGGAAATATCAAAATACCTGCTAAACCATTATCACTCGGGGAACTGAAGATATCATCTATCACGGAGAAGACCTTACACGACTCATCGCAGAACGGGTACCACGTGGCATAGTTGTCGTGGCAAAAAGTTGGGATATTTCAAGCCGGTGCATGCAATCACGTGGCAATGAGATAGTATTTCTGTTGAACTTAAATACGATAAAAAAGATTTAAAAAAACATTAACTGGTGAATAGCGACTAGTGATAATGTTTTAGTTGTAAATTTTAGAAGGGTCTCGTCTCGATCCTCCCCACCGCCCCTCGGTCACTACCTTGCTGCATCAAAGATCGAGTATTTACTAACAACGGGCACCAAACCAATAGGAGATATTAAACCCACAAACAGACTTGCCATTTTAAAGTCTCAAGTCAACTAGCTAGAACATCGGATGTTAAAGGCCACACACTCAACGAAAGTCTATAGAAACCAAAAAACAGCATCAGCAACTAGTGCTATCTGAGAGGCAGAGACCCCAAGATATGCAGCAAAAGGGAAAAAAATTCAGAAACAAAAGATCCTACCATCAAACAGTCTGAATCCCTGAGATCAATAGTCTGGCTGATCAACCTCGGCATAAGCAGTTTCAAGGTGGGCTTGCTCAGCTTCCTGAACCTCCTTCTCAGTCTTCCTTCCCTTCTTTGATTTGTAGTACACACTCATAAACGTGCCAACAGCTCCATACTTCTTCCTACAATGCTCGTAGAGACCAGCATCAAACATCCTCCAGAAGTTTTTCTCATTCAGCTCAGACACGGCATACTGTGGCTGATAACCATGATTTTCAATCAACCACTGCTCCATTCTACGCACTGCTTCTGCGCCGTCAAATACCTCACCCCTCAACACGGGGCCTGGTGCGTAGTAAACTCCAACATCTGTGTACATCTGAGCATTCTGAGTGTCCCCCTGCCTGCGATGTAGTTCAAAGCCTGGCTCTGGGTAAATCATAGTTTTAATTGGCAGCTTGAACAGCTTGTGTGGGCAGAGCCAAATTGGGTAGACCTATTATAATTTTAATTTAAAAAGAAAGTAAAAGTTAAACAACAATTGAGATGACTCAAACATTTGAATTATGTCAGGATTCCTTCCAGACTATAGATCAGATTAGAGGAAATAAAATGAGGAATTCCATTTATGGAAATCTCTGACAGCTTACTACTTAAAACACACACACACACACACATATTCCCTTAATGTTGAAGAATCTAATTGCGGTATTTTCGGTGGAAACATAATCTTTTTTACGAACATCAAGTGGTTTAAATGTGAGTGTGTGTGTGTGTATCCCCATAAAATTAAAGACTGAAGGCTCACAAGCTGTGAACAGTGTAGCTTATTTCTTCAGCATTGTACAAAGCACAGGGATCACCTAGTAATTAAAATGAAATTGCAAAGCAAATGAAGTTGATCACAAACAAACTGAGTAAAAGGATGAACGCATTGCCCTTGGAAATTAGCAAGTTTGAAAAATAAGTTTCAGGTAAGAAATTTTTAAGTCATGGAAGACGAGAAAATATACCTCCATCTCACGGTGAACCCACTCTAGTGCGTCTCCAACCTTATATAAAGGAACAAGCATGTCTTGGATGACATGCATTTCATGGTAATAGTTTCGGATAGCTTCACCTTGAGTGGCTTTGAGCAGAGAAACCTTGGGTGGCATCATCCAGCCAAACAGAAACCTAAACCACCATTGATCTGCAAAGGGAAGGATTAGCTTTCCCTCCCAGTACAAACACCTTGTGTGTCTGTGGTAATACTCTCTAGTAGGGATATATTCCACAAACTCTCCTCTCTTCAGTGCTGTCTGTGCATGCTGGTAAAACCATGGTTTAAACCACCATCCAACACTGTTGATTTTATTGCCTTTTTTCTTGGCCTCTTCTTTAGAGGCATAATTTCCTGTCATGCACACAGCTTCAGTCGAGGAATAAATCATGGTTTCTACAAAGTCTGGAACCTTCTCCTCATTATCCTGGTCTCCATCTCTTGGTGCAAAAGAGTCAATATATGCCTGAGCTAAATCTTTGAGGTTACCTACAACAGGTTTATAGGTCAGCCTCATGTACTCTTTAATGGGTATAAGCCTGATCTCAGCAGAGACAAGAAGCCCAAGTGTCCCTTGAGACCATGGAACAGCGTGAAATAGATCAGAATATTCATTGTCCCTAGTAGCTCTAACAACACGACCATCAGCTAAAACAATTTCATAAGCCACTACAGTGTCTGAGAACAGGCCATATTTTGGGAGCTTCCTTCTATCCCATAGCCATTAATAAGGCCACCAACAGTAAGATCATCTAGCTCTGCTACCACAGCGAGGGCAAGATTCATAGGGACAGTCACCCTAGAGATCTGCCCCATGTTGACCAGGGGCTCACATCTTGCAATCATTCGTTCTGTGTCAATTTCAAGAACATTCCGAAAAGAGGACAAATCTACTTCAAAATGACGAGCTCGTTTATAGTCAACATTTCGCATTCCAACTGCAATCCAAGGTTTACGAGCTGTGCAGACAAGACCATCCTTTGATGGATTCCTTTGTTTGAGACGTTTCACAACCTTCTTGACATTCTCATCATGTTCCTTCTGACGCTGCTTGAAGGACTTCATCTCAGATTTCACATCTCCAAGGTATATGAGAAAATAAATGGTGAAGGAGATGGGGAGGACAACAAAGATAACGAGAATCCATCGAAACTGAACAAAGAAGTCCACCAAACCCTTCTTCCTTTTGGGACGCAATGGGGCCTCGATATCTGACATTGCAATCAGTAGATATTTTCTTTTTGGCTTCTGTAAAAAAAGACAAAGCAAAATTTAAAAAATGGTCAGGCTTAATCACGTAGTAATTAATATATCCGGGTCTGGCTTACATAACAAAGTAAGAGGTACTTAGAAGAGCAAAGAGGAAACTATTGCTTGTAGTCAAGCAATCTTGACCATCTTGAAAATGGTTATAGTTAAGTGCCAACTCTAACGATATGTAAATTTACAATACAATGTCATAAACACTGGTAATAACACTACTGAACAAATGAAACGAGAATTCACATTTAGTCGTACAAGTTTGAGAAATATAGTTTTGCATGCATCACCCCAGCACGGGATGGCTGGGCAGAGGAAAATGTATCCAAAGTTGTATATTCTCTAGGGAGTCCAGAACTCATCATTAAAGCGTAAAACAAACAGATAATGGTGACAATAGACAAGAAAGAGAGCCTATATGACGTTTTTCATATTCCAAAAAATGAGAAACTATATCAATGCTACACCTTATGCAGTTGCATTGTACAACTTCAATCTGAGGGTCACATGATGAGAAGATATAGAAAATATGTACTACTTAACTGCGGCCTGCGCTTTAAGTAGGTACATCAAAGCATGATATGCAACTAGAGAAAACATGGCTCATGTAAAAGCAAAAATGTTGTGAAGGTTTAAATATGTTTAACTAGCAACATTTGCAGAAAATAATATAGAGGGTAAGTTAAAATTGAGACAGTAAACAAAAACAGCATACGGGCTCCTTGAAGCATAATCCCGATGGCCGAGCCAAATTTCAATCACGAGAGCACATTTTAGGTTAAGGATCGCAATAATGGTTATGTAAGAATAATATACAAGCTAATTTCATTTGCTGCGCCTGAAAGCTCCGTAAGTCCAAGACACTAGTCAGTGACAAGAAATTAACTGGAAACAACAGTTCATTGAAGCACCATAGAAGAATGAGAAAGGCCACATCTATGTATTATTTAACTAACGAATCTTAATGACATATCCCTGGACTAGGTTAACTCTTATGCTAAACATGAATGTGCTGATTATGGACAAATATAAAATATCACTTTTTTTTTATTAACAAAACTGATACAAGCATGATGATGTAAATCAGGCGTGTGTCCAATTAACATTAGAAGAGGAATATCAAATTGACAACATTATCTATTAGCCATATTCATGTCATAGAAAGACTTGGAATGAAAAGATAAAGAATTATGAGGGGACAAGATAATCCTCATGTCACTTGTGTACTTCACACGTCACAAAAGGAGTGCGTACAATCAAATCTAATACTTCATGTGCGTGAGCAAACAAAGAGCCCAGTATTCAAGAACCAAAGTTGATTGGATCATGGAGAGCAAAGTGATCAACTAAACATTTCAAAGTAGATTTTCTAAGATCTAAATAGATATATTTCTAATACATAGCATGTAGGCATGACCTAACTTGGACGCCAGCATAGACCAAGTTATGTAGAAAGAAATCCATCAATTCACCCACATTTTACCATTCATGTGGCTAGACAAGATGTCTCTGAAAAATTGTTAACATATTCGTCTGAATTTCAGAGAACCCACGCTGATTTTAATTATAAGCAAATCGACCAGAAATAATTATCAAAAAGCCCGCACATCCATTGGAGATCTAAAATGGCATGCTATGAAAAAGCAAATACAGATCTCGACAGAGAATCGGTTATGTAGGTCTGTGAAGTCTCCACGAAAATAGCGTTAAGAGAAGCAGAAGACTGAATCTAACAATACAAAAACATGCGCAGATGAAGTTATTCAAACAGGTATCCATCTTCCCGCCAATGTGACACTATTCCAGTTACTATTATATGGTCTCTTAGGAAACGAACTTACGAAAAAGATTTATCTTAACTTGAAAAAGGAAAACAAGCAGACTTTAATTCTAAGCAAACAGTCACAAAAAACCTTACAAATTTCAGCACTGCCGCCGAAAGATCTAAGAACAAATACCATAAGAAGAGATTAGAGAGCTCAACAGGAGAATCTACATGCTCTTTCAGAAAATGTTAGCGCAGCTCGCGAGAAAATGACGAGAAGAGAGAGTCAAAACACTGAATCTAAACACTAGCTGTATTTCTTTCCAAGTCAAGTCGTGGAACCCTGAGACAACAAACTGGTTCCCAAAGATCACCGAAAAGAGTCATAAAACCCTAAATATGTGACGATAAGAACAGATTAAGTGACAAAAATGCTTGGAAATGGACTTTCGTCGCCGGAAATAACATTTTCCCGGTGACCAAACAGAAGAAACAAGAGAATCACAATCGGTAAACAAACGGCGATACTACCCTGCGAAATGAAGGGAGGGAGGAAGGGATGGAGGGGGAGTACCTGAAGGAGAGACGAACTGTGAGATTTCGAGGGTTCTAGTGCCTCTTAAGTAGTGAGCTTGGAGTGAGCCAGTGCTGTGACTCCAATGGGAGACTCTGTCAGCTTCGCCGAGTAAAGCGGACAACATTTTCTTCACAAAAAATAAATATAAATAAAAAATAAAACATAAATAATAAATTGGCTTTATTCAATTTTGTTTTTTGTTGCCTGTAAGGGTCGGGTCCGACTGGTTGACAAGGGAAAGGCAAGGCGCCGCGTACCCGCCAGGTCCTGGGCTCGATACCTGCGAGGCACCCTGGGATTAGTCTGGCACGTTGTGCTGGGATACCCTGAGGCAGCGATCACATCCTACTCAAAAAATGTTTTTTGTTTGAATTCCATACAGCATTGTTGTGTAAGAAATTAGCGAGGAGCTTGCATTTGTATCTAGCGATAATTTTGATACATCCACCCTTCTTATAAATACTATTCCTCTTTTATTTAACATAGGACCTAACTATTAAGTTGATTTTGATCCTAAATATAAAACATATTTCTCTTATTTATCAACTTTCCTAAATTACTATTATGAATATTCTCTTAATCATAACTAAGTAGAAGAGAAATGGAGGATATTAAGAAAGATGATTATAGTGTTTTAGAAAAAACATCTCATATTTTTTATAATTAACTAACTTATATAATTTTTTTAATCTAATCAAATTAATTAAATAAATTTTATATTAAAAACCGAAGGAGTATATTTGTGGTTATTTTAATCAGCATGAGAAATTTTGCTCTTTAATAGGACACTCTTTCGCTCCTTGATATTTGACATGCAGGAACAAATTGAGACTCTGCGCACATCAATCATCAGTCTGATTTACATCATTACAAAAATTGATAAGAAATTTATAGAGTGCCTGAGAATATTAAATTTATCAGTATCGATGACGAAAATTCGATGCATCATAAATAATAAGAGAGTGCAGGAACAAAACAAGGAAATGGTGATGAAAATTGAAGGAGTAAGGACAAAAAAGTAACGGTAAAATAAACGAGCTTTCGGGTGTTTGCAAGAGTTTTTCGGGATTTGGAATGGAGGGACAGTGGCCGTTCAAATGGGTGAGTGATCAGCGGTGGGACCGAGCCAATGGGATTCGTTGGCAATCACGTTTGATCACACACATTGGCATCCCATGTGACCACGTCAGTTGCAGACAACTCTGACAATTTTTTATATGAAAGATATCTTTTGCTTTTTTGCTAGTCCATCACTTTATGTTTAATTATATTGCTCGGATACTACTTGTAATTTATCTTTTTAACAGGAAAGAGATACTATTACTATTAAGTTATAAAAAATATATTTACTTTAAACCCATATAAATAAGGAATTTTCATCGTGAATGTGGATGGACTTTTTCCTAACAGGAAAGAGACATTGCCATTAATTTATAATAAGTATATTTACTTTAAACCCCATATTCATAAATTCTGATTATAAGCTTAGAGTTTATATTAATTACTAAACTCGTATCCTCATTTTTTAAAAATGAAGTCTGAAATGGGAGCGGAATCTGTGAAATGATTTAGATTTAGGGGATGTTTGGCAATACCAATAAATATTTTTAAAAAGTATTTTTCTGCAAAACAAGGTAATCTCCCCTACATATTTACTTTATCTATTATAAAAACACTTTTAAAATCATGATTTAGTTTTTACTCAAATATCTCCTTAATTCAACGAGTGTGGATTTACTTCTTGTTAATTGTTATTGATAAATGAGATTTATCTTATACTTATAAAGTTGAATAAAAGTGATCGGATTACAACTTATTAATTATTTATTTGGATCCAAAAGTAGGAGCAAAGCAAACTTTTGTGAAGCGATGAAATTTAATTAGTGTCCGGCTGTCCGCGCTAATCTCTAAGGCACGTGTAAATTGTCGTGACGCATCATTATAAAATGCATAAAAATGCTGCCGCATCGTTACGATACTGTGGATCTGGAATCATGGAAAAGAAATAATGGCTGAATCTAGGTTGGGATTGTTGTGTGTATATATATATATAATCTCATACATATCTCGTGGCAGCCAGCTATGAAATGATATCTTTTTCATCCCTAGCTTGTTTTCACAATCATCATGACTGAGATTTACGCACAAAGAGTTCCATATTTCACACACACATCACAATAAATAATTTTTATGTTATAAATGATGCAGCTTTTTATAAATTTTAAAAGCGATGATATTCATAAAGTTTGTGATAATTATTCTACGTCACATCATTAAAAAAATGTATGTTAATTTCCTATTCTGATAATTTGTTCATTGATGACAAGTTGGCATGGTACACAAATAAAAGCATTAAGTGGGAGGGTTACTTTGAATACGATTCAGGGGGTATTTGGCTTTTTATCCAAACTATGGTTTGGTTTCCCAAATTATAGTTTGGAAAAAAATTTACCAAACACCCTTTTTTTTTAAAAAAACCTTGGTTTTGGCCCAAAAAAAACCTTGGTCTGAGAACAAGCATGCGGGGGTTGGCTTTTGAGGCAGAAAAGTGGTCGTTGTCAGAGGCTCCAACAGTGCACAAGCAGCAATTCTATTTTCTACATATAAAAATACGGCGACAAAAGAGGAAGGCTTGCGAAAAAGATATGCATAACTTCGAAGAAGCATGATCGCTATCAAAGTTTTGCTAGAACCAGTCTCTTGAGTACACAATGGCAAAATAAATTATTTTACAAAACACATATTTAATTATTTTATTAATATTTATACGTATTAATTTTTTTATTTATATTATTTATGCCTTATTTATTATGTTGTCAAAATATATATTATTAACAAATTTATTACTTTAAATAAACATATATTATGAAATATATTTTATATGTAATTATCATTTAAACTTATGTCCTTTTTAGTAATTTTTACATATAAAAAAGCACTACTGACAACAACTATCCAAACACTTTCACTTTATTAGAATCACTTTTTCAAAAAATCTATTCTTTCAAAATCTATTCTCTCCATAATCTATTCTCTAGAAGCTATTCTCCAAACAGTGATTTGCCTTCATCCAAACACCCCCTTAGAGCTAGAGGGTAGAGTAATAATTAAATTAAACCAAAATGGGCCCTTTGCTGGTTGGTAATATTCGCTTTTCATGAAAACTCGTACATGCCTTTCCAATCATTCTTTCCAAGAAAACGTGAACAACATTGCTCTCACTCCCTCCTCCATTTTCAAAACCCTCCACCCTTTTCATTGTACGGTACCTACATGGCAATAGAGTGGAGAAGCTCTATGAGTAATCATCATTATGTGGCAATAAGCTTAAATTTGAAAACATAGCGCGAAACCAGAGCAGCTTCGTTAATATATTGCACAGAACAATTTCAGGTTTAGAAAACCTAGCAATAATAGTAATTAGTTAATGTCTCTCAGAAAAAGAGTAATCAATTGTCAATTAGTAAAGCTGGCTTTTAGGGGCAGAATATAATCCAAATGCGAGAAAAGAAGCAATAATGATGATCATATATTTGACTATGGGTTGATTGATGCTTCCCGCACAACTCTGAAAAACCCGATCTTTATTTCCCATTCTAGTAGGATGTGTTTGGTTCAACTTAGGGCCTGTTTGGTTTGAGGGGAGGGGAGGTTTCATCCTCCCCTTGTTTGGTTTGATTAAAAAGGAGGGGAGGAGAGGGCATTTAATGATCCCTTGTTTGGTTCAAGGAGGGGAGGAGAGGGATAGTAATAATCAATTTACCATTTTACCCTTACATATTAGTTTATGTTTTTTATTGATATATTATATAAATTAATTTACATCTTAATTTAAATTATATAATTTAATAAAAATTCAGTCTTATCATGTTAATATGTGTATTAAAAAATTGGTATAGTAATTTTTTATTCTAATTAATATAATAATATATTTAAAACAATCAAATTAACAAATTTTATATGCTATTAGAAAAATGAAATTTTATTTTCTTTAGGCTATCTTTTTTTCCAGCTTTAAAATATATTTAATAAATAATATATTTATAAAAAACAATTAATTTTATAATATTATAATTTTTTAGTTAAATATTTTTTATTTTTAAATAATTTTTATAATATATTTTTAATTATAATAATGTATATATTTTTTATTTTTTTACTTAGGATAATATATTTTTTATTTGAAATAAATATTATAATAATATATTTTATGGGTAGAAGTGGAATATTAAAAAAGCCATAAGGGCATAATGGTCCAAAATTTTGACTCCCCTCCAAAAACCCCCAATTTGGAGGGGAGCCAAAATGGGGGAGGGAGGGGAGGGGACATTTTAGCTCCCCTCCCCTCCAAAATTTTTAACCAAATGAGGGGAGGGGCTCATTTTCCCTCCCCTCCCCTCCCCTCCAACCAAACACACCCTTAGAGAAAAGGAGGAAAGAGATTTTAATAGAGGAAAGGAGAAAAAAAGAAGGGGAGGGTTTTGATTAAAAGGAGGCAAGGAGAGGGGTTTTAATGTTATCTTGTTTGGTTTGGGAGGGAAGAAGAGGGGAAAGTATTTTTATATGGACAATTTTATCTCTTTTTTAGTTGGTTCTTATTTTATGAAATGTTTAATAAGATATAATTATAATGATATTTAATATATAAAATTACAATTTTATGATTATGAAAATGAATGATTTTTTTACCAACCACTAAAATTAAATAAATATTTTCTTCAGAAAAAGGCCAAATGACATTAATATATCAAAATAAAGTACATCACAAAGGCAAGACCAAAGAAAGAAACAAGGAAAAGCAATTAGCAGTTATATGTGAAGAAGGATTCATTCTTAGGCGTTCCTACCTGTGAACAAATATAAGCCCTTACTTGTGAACGAGAAAAGGCAAGCCAGAAAAGAAGCAAGAACGCACCTAAAGAAGGTCGCGACAGTAGCAGCGTTGATGATGGCTGCTCTCTATGGGCAGAGAGAGCGGCAAGCGGTTGAGGTGAATGAGAGTGAAAAAAAGAGTTTTTAACACAAAAGGGCAATTGCCAAATGTTCAAAAATCGTTATGGGCAATTTTGCCAGAATTGGATGATAAATTTCTCTTCCTTTCAAAAAAACTCCAATTTTGAAGAGAAGAGGGAGGAGAGGAGGAAAGCAGATAAAGACAAAAAAAAATTTCCTTCCATTCCTTCCAATTTATTGAACCAAACAGGGTTCATCTGCCTCCAACCTCTTTTTCTCCTCACCTCCTCTCTAAAAACCTCCAACCAAACAATATGTTAGGGAAGTGGAGGGAAATCTTCGGAATAAATTTTATGTAAATTCATTTAACCGTATTAGGGAATGAAAAATAATATTAATATTTAACTAATTTGATTAGATTAAAGAAGTTAGGTAAGTTAGTTAATTATAGAAAAAATGACACATTTTTCCTAAAACACCATAATCATCTTTCTTAATACCTCATCTCACTCTTCTACTTAATTATGATTAAAAAAGTATCCATAGGGGTAATTTAGAGAAAATTAATAAATATAAGAAATGGGTCTTATATTTAGGATCAAAACCAACTCAAGAATTAGATCTTATATTAAGGACCGGAGGAGTACTAAATAAAATATAACGAATAATTCATACATATGATATTGATATTTCGTGAAAGGTGGACATAAACTTATGTATCATCAACTGTCCGTTGACTCGATCTTCTCTTTAATATGCCTTTTTCATTCTGTTAATACTTTTTCAACGACCGTTTAAATTTAACTTTTGTCAAGCTGTAAAAAGAGCATAGTTAGCTATTCTTAATAGAGTTTCTCATCTACAAGATTTATGCTCAAAATTTCACTTAAGAAGTATTAGCCCCTTCCACTTCATCCCCTAGCAAGATCCCTGGCTAAAAGACACATTACTGCTGTGGTGTTTGAAATATCAAAACAGGTGATTAACCGACCCATCTACTAAGTGCATCTGAAAGACTAAATGATTTTTTTTTTTTGGGGGGGGGGCCATCAACGTTTAATACACATTCTTTTCTACTCTAACTTTTGGTGAATTTAAAATATAACTCAAAATACCCTCAAATCACTTTAATTTTGAAACTAATATCTATCATACTGAAAGCATTAAGATTAAAACCCTCCCAACCAACAAATACACTTTCCAAAATTCAAACTTGTGTGTTTTTTTTAATGAAATTAGACCACTTATCGTATCAATCAACAATGTTAGTAATCCAGAAGCTATTTTAAGCGACAGTTCCACTTTTACTTTGTTTTTCTCACCTAAACACTGCGTAATTCTTTATTATGAGCGGGTTGATTATTGTAAATTTCTTGCTATAATAATTTTTACGCTGACAGATTTTTATTTGACATGTTTTTTCATGGAAACATGACATTAAGAAGTTCCAAAAAGCAAGGAAACAGAAATGACCGGATGGATCATGGATTCTTCTCTGATGTTTGACCACGTTACCCATAAATAATATACATCAGGGCTTCTCAGCGTCAACACATGCAGCAAAATAGTTATTAGGGGTGCAGAGGTGATCACAAAACGAACGCTAAATAATCGGCCAAATTATGTTTTGGGCCGAACTATTTACCTTAGCATATTTGTATAAGCCAAAATGGGCTCATACATCGCCCCAAAACTGGTCGCATCCTCCACCGCCATTTTCACGAAACTCCTGAGCACTCCGAGATGTTACAGCTCCCAGTCAATCGGGGAAATCCCCTTTTGTTCCAGAAGTTGGTTAGTTTTAGAGAAGTGCCTGCCAGATTTAAAAAAAAAAAAAAAAAAAGACAAATAAGTTGCCAGCTCCTACGCAATGCAGAAGAAACATGAATAATTTAGTTTTTAAAGTTTTTGATAAACAAGAGTAGGCGAGATGAGAATGATGAGATAGATATGTAATCATATAAGAAAAGATAATATCAATAGTATCTACAATGAACATATACGCAAAAGAGTTTGAGTAGCATCTATTGAAAAGAAAAAGATAAAAAAATCATTTGAGATAGTTTGGACATATTCAAAAAAGACCATCAGATGGGTCAATGACAACAAAGAGGATTGATCAAGCAGCATGGAATCCTCTAAAAAAAAAAAAAAGAGAAAAGAAAGCACCTAATGAAGTTACTAAGGGGAGATATTTTGATTAATAATTTATCCAAATATCTCGTTGTTGATAGAACATAATAACAATATGCGATTCACGTAACCAACTTTACTTAGAGCGGTAAAGTTTTGTCATTGTCATTGTTGTATAAGTACCAAAATGGATTTGAAATACAAACAGATACCACCAAAGAGTCGTGAGCCCATGACTCATAAGTTAAATGCAAGTTCCACGGCCTCAATCACCAACGTTGGTTAGCAGAAACTCAAACTGCCCAAAATTCCCGCAACATGCACTTTTAAACATATTAAATAGTGGTTTATCATTCCTCAACTAAGAGAACTTTCAAAATGCTAAGCTTAAAAGGTCAAAAGCAAAAATAATACCCACACATCCGCGTGGGTGCACCGTGCACATACATTTACATATTGTGTGAGTGTGCTCGTGTGGTTTTTTTTTTTTTTTGGGGGGGGGGGGATGTGGTGGAGGGAATTTGCGTAGGTACTTAATATTTTGGAAGCAGTTACATAGTCATGCTAACAACAATTTTCTTAACCATCTGACCTGCAGCCAAAGAAGCCTCTGTTTGCAGACAAACCAGAAGGATGTGCAGCTTTCAGAATGTGGTGCTTTGTTGTATCAATCAGCCTGTGTAGATGAAACTCAAATGAAGTCATTGAATGGATATAATTACTAGGGCAATTAGAGAAATCACAATTCATATGTGATGTATAAATATTTAAGAGAGGATCCTACGTTAGATCTTGAGTACGAATCATCAAATTGAACGCCTACCAAGTGTTTGATAGAATACAGTCACGTTTGGCCTCCGTGACTTGCTTTTGACAGGAGCTTTGAAATTAAATAAATTTGAGTTCAGCTAAGAAATTAAAGTTAGCAAACTAAGGAAGATTAAGAATAGAATAGTTTACCCACACAAGTGTTAATTGAACTCCGCGGATATTTGTTAAAAACATAATGCCAATTGATATTAATGTCTTTATTTGAGTCCGTTGACAAGTCTTTAAGTTCATACGATTAGTTCAGTCCAATCAATTAATCACTCATAGCAACAAGGGCCCATAAGAAAAATCTCACCAAATTGTTTTGTATTGTATTCATTGCATTTGGAAAGTCAGATATCTGAAGCAGGCATTTGTTACAGATGTTTATCATAAAAGTATTGATGTGGTTAACACAAATTTACCAGTCAACCTCATCTCTCGGTTCACATATCATCCCACAATTAACTCCACAGAAATGTGCGCAAGAGAGAGGAAATGGAAGAAAAATAACTTATTTCTGATATGTGGCTAATTTTAGTAATGCAAGTCTAATTAATCCTAATTTGGCTTCTTTATATTTGTATATGTTATCAAATGGAAGTACCTAGATTTCTCCTGAGCAGAGTTCCCCCACAAAAGAAACACAACTCCTTCCTTCTTCTGTGAGACTGTTTTGATAACGGCATCAGTAAACTGTTCCCAACCTTTTTTTGCATGAGAATTAGCTTGATGCTTCCTGACTGAATGGAAAACACGTATATTAATACATATAAAAATTTTGATATAGAGACAGATGAATTATAGTATGCACCAATGTAAACGAATAGAGAGAATGTATACTAGCCTCTTCGCTGGTTTATATGCTATCTAAATTATCTGCACAATCAAACACACATCCATACGCGTATAATTAATAATATGGCCAAGTTATATTACCTGAGAGCCCAGAGAACTTAGAGTCATGGCAACTTTAAGGGAGTATGCGGCTTAATAGGGGCACAATTATCAAATGTGAAAGCATGGAAAATTGTTTGTTCAGACAAAACCCAGATGCTCAAGAACATTCCAAGGGTAATATTTTCACAGGTAACATTGCTCAATTAGGTAAACTCTGTCTTAAACAGTCATATATTCTCGCAGATCACATAAAATTCATCGTGAAAAGTCTGCTATTATCAGTTTTCACAACATAATTTTCAATATAGAGAGTAGAATTTTCAAGTAGGGAGTAATTTACTGTTATGTGATTAGCAGCAGCAATATCAACAATCCATTGGATGGTTGAGCATGAGGCATTAATACTATAGAACCATTACAAGATTGTGCCACAACCATCAACCCCAATCCCAATCACACTGTCTGAGAGAAGACAAACTTGAATTACCAGCGGCGATTTATGAAACAAAGGAGAAAAAGCAATCTACCAACTTAACAAACAAGAGGAGCAAGTTTGAGAATGTGAGGCAAGGGTAGGCAAAGGGGAGGCTTCATCCATTGCGTTAGGAAACACAAACAAACACCACTAATCAACGAAGACTGGTTGACCAATGAGCAGCATTGGATGAACAATCGCTCATGAACTCTCACCCACCACTGCCTGGGACTAGGAGAGGAAGACAACTATCAAACTCAGGGTATTGGCCCATCTTCACCCCTTGAAACTGATGAGAGGGGTTGTGGCAGTTTTAATGGTACTAGAATAAGGGGGAACAAGAAAACTTGGCTTCCGCTGTGAAGCCAATGCATTTTTCCAAAGGAGGAATGATAGAATTTTGTGTATTGTGATTCATGATGGACAAGCTTGGCCATTTGAATAGGTCAGGTTGCATGGGGCTTCAATACCATACAGAATTTCATAGTACAAGGTCTTTGAATGCTTATTCCACCCAAAGGTGAGAGGTGAATGCATAAATAAAAGTAGATGACAACAATTATTCCATTCAATCTCACAAAAGCAATTACTATGATATCATATAAAATCATAGCAAAGAAGTGCGATCTTGGGAGCTCTATAATGAACTCTTAATAAGATACAATAAGAACATTGGATAATCCCCCAAAAAAAAAAGAAAAAAAAAAAAGAGGATAATAATGCGGTTGTACTGAACTCTTGAGAAGACTCGCTCTACATAAATACTTCTACTGGAAATTCATAAAATTTCAAAGTTCTTACCTGTGAGAACAGCATTAAGCAAGAGAACACCCTGCAATGAAGTAAAAAAATAGCTGTCAGAAAATGTTATCTAGAAACTACAGCAAAACATCTGTAGTTTATACTAACAACAAAGGATGACAACCGCGCAAAATTTGAAGAGGAACTTCTGAAAGTCAAGTTCATTTTCAGCTCATGGACCAAGGTTCAATTGCTTGTGTCTATTGCAAAAGTTCAAGTTGTTTGGTGAAATTCGTTTTAAACTATTTTCAGGTATCAAAGGCAACGTCAACTCAAAAGCGGCAGTAATTAGCTGCACATGAATAGTTTTATTGCAATCTTTGACAATAAGTACCACTTATCAGTTTTAGCAATTACCAAACACTTTCTTTCCTCACATCCTAGTTCTTTTATAGCAACATTTAAGGGGCCTTTTCATTTTAAAGAAAGAAAAGGATATTTAAAGGGTTAAACTCCTGAGAAGTATATTGATTGTATCAGATTAAAATAAATTCATAAAGAAAACGTCAAAAACAGAGATATGTAGACATTTAAAGAAATTCATTTTTTTTGTCATGATATGTTCTCTCCACAGCCAATTTTTGCGATGCTGCCTTGTAATTATCATTTTGGCGTAATACAATCCTCTTTCACCCAAAAAACAATCATCGTTTACTATAATTTTCAAACTATTAGCTGTCAATTTTAGCCATCCATGTTGTGCAGAACATGTCTTCATTACTTATTACTACGGTTAGTGTAGGGTATGGGGTAGCAAGATATTTGATGACATGTTTATCTGTGAGTCTATGTTGTACAGCTTCATTAACAAATTTTTATTGATCAAAATTTGTCTTTGTAGGGGCAAAACTTACTGGTTCTTTCATCAAATTAAGCAGAGATTGGTACTGTTTGAGTTCCATTTGCAGTTTCATTTATTAGCAGTGACTAAAACCTTGTGCCGTTACAGTCAAATTTGCACTTCTTAAGGAATAGCTACTAAGAGCTGTACAAAGTATAAGGAGCTGTTAAGAGTTTTGGGCTGGTGTGCACGAAAGCATTATTAGCAGGTTCTAAAGAAGTTTGCGTGGAAAATGGAAATAAAATGGAAGGTTTGTTTAAATTTGCTATTAGCATCTTAATTATTTTCCTTTATCACTACCATCTTTATCATATCTTTATTTACATTGCATTTTTCTTATCTTTATCGCCTACAAATTCGGTTGTTATTATCAAGTCATAAAACTTACTTACATTCCTAAATTAAGGGGTTCTACTGGCTGGTTTGTAGCTTCAGTTCCCTATCACTATAAGCATATCTTGTTTAAGAATAAGAACCAAAGCGTCATTTAACTCTAAAAATTCTTCACAAACAAGTTCCATTCCAGCTGTTTCAATTTTCAAGATTGAACTCATTCAACAAAGAACAGGATACAAAGTAAGGTCTTTTCTGAGATTGTCTAAATTGAGCTGTTTTCACCACGGGACAATGAATATGTGGTTGAACCAAAAATAATGCATTACATAAATTAAAAGGAAACAGTTGACTACATACCTGTGCAGTCCATTTTTCCAGATTTCCATGAGATGGAACTGAACAGCCAAGGTCTTGCTTGAGTTCCTTAAATATATTTACCAGACTCGAAGGGACCTTTACTCCTACAGGCACAGAGAATGAAAGGCCCATGGCTTGTCCAGGTCCATGATAAGGGTCCTGAGAAATAAATAGCTTGATTTATTTATTCAAGAGGCATACTACTGATAAGGCATAAACCAATAAAATTTTCTCACAAAGTAACGTTATGACATTTGCCATACCAGTAATAGCAGAACTACAGGTTCAGAAAACAACAAAAACTGGTTTTGATACAAGGTTCAAAAATCACATGCCTTATCCCACTAAGTGAGATCGGCTATATGAATCACACAAGGCCATTATATTAAAAGAAATTCCAATATGTTTATTTACAATATATAAAAATATTAAATTGCAGCACCACTGCATTGCAAATAAAATAGTTTAGATTTACGAAACTAAATTTCACGTGATTTAAACTTGAATGAAAGTTAAGACAACTTTTTAGGTTTTAAGAAATTTCTATTTCTAGATCCAAATCCAAACTTCAGGAAAGTGAATCCAAACTTGTAACTTAAATTTCTTAACAGAAGTTGAATTTTCATTCTCAAGTATATGTAGATCAGAAAAATCAGAAATAGCACAGAATTATGTTTAATGCTGAACAGTTGATATCAACAAGTACTGAGGATGCCGGAACTGCAAATTATATTGATCCTTTGCAGTACAGTTAGTATAATGGGGGGAAAAAACTTTGACCATAAAATTGCAACTGCTCATCAAACTATATTGGGATATATCAACGGAGACAACAGAGTGCATGAGTCTGAACAAGAAAGCCGAGCAATGCAAAGCTTGGGCAAAAGAGGTAATTAATAATTACCATATCACTACGTGTAGGCAAAAAAGAAGAAAAGAGGAATATTGTTATATGATAAACAGAGAGGGTGTTAGTTAAGGGGTTAATAGATGGTTAGCTTAGTTAATTGGGGTTAAGGTTATGGCTAGAAATAGATGGCTTGTTAGGTTGCAATCGGGCTCCTTAGTATGCAAGTTTGATTGTTATATTTCTCTACTCCACTCTTTCTTGTCTCTTTCTATCCCTCCATCTATTCCCTCTATTCCCTTTGATTAGCTCTCTCCTCTTCCCTTCCGCCTAATTATTATGCAAAGTGGTATCAGAGCTACTCCTTCCTGGAACCAGAGGGGAGGGCTCCAAAACCAATGGAGCAAATAGAGGGCAATATTCAAAATTCAACCATGGAGCTGTTGAGACTACACATAATTTTCCAAATGTCTTTTAGTCTTAGTCCTGCCATGCATGTGAAGCCACCCAGTTCAAGAGCTACATTGGCATAGTAAAATACGGCTGATCCTTGGATATTAAGATTATATGTCGATACTTGATAGCATGTGCCTAAGAATGTGATGGCAAAGGAAACATTATTTATTTTTAGATGCAAATACCTGGAATTCAGTACTACCAGGTCAAATTCAAGTAACTTTCCTAACGTAATTTTTTTTTTATTCACAAGATTTAAACCCACAACCTGCTGACTCCCTTCCACTTGACCAGTATTTATTATTCAAGTGTCTAGAACGCTTCTACATATTGAGAAAATTAAGCTGGACTATTTAGCTATTTATGATTTTTTTTTTAATTGCACATCAGATTAAGGTTCAACTGCTTATCCGGATTAGGGTCACATAAGTAACAAACTGGACTTTGTAGTTCAATTAGAATCAAGATTACCTGGATTTGCCTATCTACAGCGATTATTTTGTTCTCAGGATTTGTTTAGAATACATGGCTCAGATAATTTAACATTGATGTTAATTTAGCAATTGATAGTTGGCTTCATTTCCTCTTATTCTCATTCGGTTCAAAATAATTATCTACATGCTATAACAATCTGGCATCACGGCTGTATGCAAGATTGCCCAAATCGTATGGATTATCATCTTCCTCGTTGCTTGACTGGGATCATCAAATTCTAAATTTCTTAGCAAAGGAAACTAAAAAGCAAGCCTGGTTGCCGTCAGACAGGGGAGTGACTCCTCAGAATAATTGAAGCAAAATCAAACACATGAAATTTCTATAAGGACTCAGCATACCAAAGCAAAATTTTGGGTAGAAAATTCACCCACCTGCCCAAGGATGACTGCCTTAACTTTATCAAAAGGGGTAGAGTTCAGAGCGTTGAAAATCATATGGGAAGGCGGATATATAGCCTCAGCGCCATTGAATATCTCTCTTCCCACAAATTGGCAGAGATTCTTGGCATAAGGCTTCTGAAATTCTCCTGGAAGAGCTTCCAACCAGGTCTCCTCCACCAGCAAATCCTCCAGTTTTACATGACCTGCGACCATACGGCGATACATTTTACCAAAATTAAATTTCAAGCACACGATGCATTACCTTAATGCCTAAGTTTGTCCCCTCATAGGGGCTCGGTAGTGGGTTCGATCCACAGGGCTGGTTTAGCATCGCATCATCTAAGATATTTTCCAACACCGATAAATAACTAAATGAATAAGTAAATACTAAGTTTTGTAGGGTACCTTTCCAATTAGAGACCCTTCCGGCACAGATTTTCATATTCCTCTTCGACTTGGCCAGCAATTTGTTGCATTCAATACGTGATTTTTGTTTGACACTAAGTATAGAGGACTGAGAGGTATCATTCGTGTCAGCATCTGCGTCGGGGTTGGACTGAGAGCTAGCCGATTTGGAGACTGGGGCGACATTGGGTTTCAATCGCTTAGAAACTGGCTGGTACAGATCCATTAGGGTTTTGGAGCACAGTGAAGCCATTTCCTCTGCCTCTTGGTTTCATGAAATGGCGGGCATCTCTCTGTTTTGTGGCGGGAAGATATGAATTCCGCTAATTGCCCATGCACACTAATCAATGCCTGTTTCCCCCTTTTTTTTTTGGAATAACTGTTTCCTTTAAATAATTTTTGAAAAAATCGCTATACTCTGTTTTCTACGCACAAAACATAGTAAGTAACAAATAACTGTGACATACTGTAAATACCCACAACAATTGATCAACATATAATTTGTCTTTGATATGTTTTTATATATATATATATATATATATATAGTCGTTACAGTTACAATCATGACTAAACAAGCAAACCAAATCAAACAAGAATTAAATAAGTTAGGAACAAAACAAAGGACAGTGGTAGATTGGGTTCAAATTTTTTGCACAGATCTAATCACTTATCTCTCACCAAGAGAAGATTAATTTATGAGGCAAATATATTTAAAAAAAGGAGTAAAATTTATATACATGATGCTTTGCATTTTCTTCTCTTCTTTACTTTTGGTTTGTTATGCAATGTATGCTCAGGTTGAAATTCCAATTTGATGTAATCGATGATTATCAAAGGAACCCATATGTCTGTGCATGAATGTAGTCATTACATCTGCGTGTATATGGTCATTGCTCATTGTTTTGAAAGGCAACACTTGCAGAAGAGTTGATGTATTGCTCAAGCTTCGCCTTGTGATTGAAAAAGTCGCCGGTAAGTATTCCATAGCCATCTCCGCCCAGCCACCAAACATATTTGATAATGGAGTTTTCAGGGGCCAATGGGTCAATCTGCCTTTAGCATGGGCGACTGAAAATTTGTTTCCATCACTTTTGGTGGAGATAGATTTTTAGCTCTTTAAAGGAAAAATCATGCCTTGCGTTCCATTTCTTTCCCACCTGTTCTTTGAACCAAACACCCATCGCCAATGAAAAATCTTGATTTTCCATGTCCATTGCAAGATTTTCCTTGAACCAAAACGGGCCCTTACATAATATCAGCTCAGGTTTGGAATTGCATTTGGAAACTGCAAATACCACCTAAAATTAAGCATTTCCTTTGAAGATTGCCAATTGGAGGCTGTTGCAACTAAGGAGACACTCTTCAAGAAGAAATGTGCTAGGGATATAATTTGTCCCATTTGTCAAAATGCTGCAGAGACTATTGAGCACTCAATTCTTCTATGTCCTTGGGCTAATAGATGCTAGTTTGGATGCTCACTTTCGCTAACTATTAATGGGAATCAAATAGTTTGTATTATAGGAGATGGTTTGAACAGATGTTTCTGCATAATAAGAATATTGATGATAAGGGGCGCACTCTTATGGCAACTTTGTGTTGGGTTGTTTGGAAAACAAGGTGTGAATTTGTCTTCCAAGAGATTCAAGTTGACTCAATGAGGGTGGTATCCTTGGCTACTTTATTGGCAAATGAGGCTTGGACAGCAAAAAGCCAAGATACTGCACAGAGATCAAGCATTAACAAAAGTTCAAGAGAGTTGTCTTGGAGGGCTCCCCTGCTGCATGTATAAGAATAAATTCAAATGGAGCTTTTGATTAAAAAATCTGAATACGCTGGAATTGGAGTTATATGTACTTATGCAGGAATGATAAAAGTCTTCTCCTTGGTATTGCATGTAAAAAAGGCAAAGCACTATCTTCTTTTTTATTTTGAGTGTATTTCTTTCAAGGAGGCTATTTTATTTAGCGATCAATTTGCTTCCTCTAGGATTTATTTGGAAACTGACTGTCAAGAACTTTACATTGCTGTGAGACATAATTCGTTAGTCACTATTGGGTGGCAATGTGCTAACATTTTTGTTGATATTATTAGATTATTGCTTAACTTGTCAAATTATCTATTATCCATTTTCGCATAAATAATATTCATCATACTAAACTTATCATTAGCAAGCATATTGGCAAAATAAACAAATTTCGCATTCTTACTAATGATTGATTATGGTTTATAGAATAAGAATAGGCCTTCTCTTAAAGAACAATCCTATCCTCTTTTTTTTTTTTTAATTTATTTCACAAAATAAGATGTACTCAAATTTTTATTAATTTCTTTTAATATAATTTTCCTTGTAATCCATTTGTTATGCACTCAATACATCTCATTGGCCATTGCATGGGAAAAATAGATTTGGTGCTTTTATTATCAAAGACGAGATGTAAAAATAAAAAACAAAAACATTAAAAGAAAATAAAAAAAGAATATGAATATTGCTTTGGATATTAGGTGACTTATGGGGTGTTTGGATGTAATCAAAACTATGATTTTAAAAGTGCTTTTACAGTATATAAATTAAATATTTGGAGGAGTTTATCTCGATTTACGGAAAAGCACTTTTCAGAAGTATTTCTGATGCTTTCCAAACACTCTCTTAATACACATCATCAAAATGATATTTTGAAATGAGCTATTGACATTAGGTTTTAGTTGAAATTGGCATTATTTTTATGGTTTAATTGTGAATGACAAGTATAATATGAAAAATAACAAGTGCTAAAAAGCTATATATACTAACTTAAGTTTTAGTAAAAATTGGTATTATTTTAACAATTTAGTTGCCAATAACAAGTTTAGTATAAAAAATTATAAGTATTAAAAAGTTGTTAATAATAAGTTAAGTTTTAGCATAAATTGATATTATTTTCACAATTTAGGTGCCAATGAGCAATAACAGTTCTAGAGTGAAAAATAACCTAAGACAACTAATTTCTGCCTCTTAGTATTGCAATTATCTTCTAAAACTATACAAATTTCATAAGCCTAAGAAGACTCGGAACTTTTAGCACACCTTGCAAAGAACTATTTCATTCAAATATCACAAATAAACTCACAAGAAGATTGCCAACCATGTGCTCCCTTTTTTGTCAATGCTTTCCACCGTGCTTTTTACAATAAAACCATGACTGCAAATTGCTCTGGCCACAGCTAAGACTGTACACTTCGTCAATTCCCAAAAGACATCTCATCTTCTTCATCGCAATGCGGCATAGGTAACCCGATGATTTGAGAAGCAAAAATGGAACTCACAATTGAAATGCATAAAATCAAAACCCCCACAAGACAAAGCAAATAAGTAATTGAACCCACAATGCTTTTCGTTTCAAAATCTCCATGAAGTCACATCCCATTGGCTTCGGCCTTGGTGCTTAAAGTTTTACTTCTTATCATCTGATTCCCAAGCTACTTGATTTTCTTTACCCGGTTTTTGAGCCTCATGTCTTCCCAAGTACAAGTTCTAAGAAGCCATGGCGGACTCGACCTGATCTACCACTGACAAGAGGGGCCCCTCATCGGATTCATGTGCTTAGCTATCTCCATTTTTATTCATGTAACTCGAATTTTACCCCTTTCTCTTACTCGCATATATAATAGTTCTTGCTTTCCGGAGGGGCATTTGGATTGTTTTATGGAGGAATTTGTTAAAACATGAGCCTATTCTGAAAGACAAAGTTTTATTCTTTGTGTGTAATTATTTGTTCTTGATAATTCGACGACGTCCGTTTTACTGCCGCATCTTTAATTCCTGACTGATAAGAGATGGAATTGACCTTTCATAAAGCTCATGATTGAAACTTCTTACATTAATAATTTGCTTTGATCTGTAGCTTAGATATTCTAATATTTCTCCTGTCACCTACTCCTGAATTAATTGGGAAACTTGACACGTGCATAGACCTCGCAGTAGTTGAATCTTGACACTTGTATCTTGTTAGTTTCTGCTTTTGCAGCTGCTCTGCCTTCCAATAAGGGTCAAATCGATAAGTCAATGTTTACATTTTTGGAGAAACTTCAAAATCTTAAAGAGTGGTGCAGTGATTGAGGATCATCAGAAAGAGAACATAACGGATTGATTTTGACGCCTCAAAATCTTGAATTGAATTCCGATTGAAGCATCAAACTGTTAATATCTTTGCTGTGTTTGAATAAGAAAGTAAAAAATTCTCAAGTTCGCACTTGATTATGTGTAATATCCTAAAAGGAAAGAGAATAATATTTTGTTTGTGTTGGAAAAATAATTGTTATCATGGTCATACTGATTTTTTTGTTATTAGCAATAAGAATATTGTTGTTTTGAATATAAGTGTTGTTATTATTGTCATGGCCATATTATAGGGTTGAGAATCTTACTCAGCAAACTTTGCTAAAACTAAATTGACAGTTTGGCATTTACAACTTGTTATTTAATATATAGGACTTGTCATTAGCAATTAAATTATGAAAATAATGTCATTAATTTAATTGGGAATTATTTCAACAATTTAATTACCAATAACAAGTCTAGTATGAGAAATAATAAGTGTCGAAAAATTATTTATAATAATTTAAGTTTTATTAGAAATTGATATTATTTTCACAATTTAGTTAACGGTAAGTCTAGTATGAGAAATAGTAAATATTGAAAAGCTATCAACAATAACTTAAGTCTTATCAGAAATTAGTATTATTTTTATAATTTAATTGTCAATAACAAGTGTAGTATGAAAAATAATAAGTGTTAAAAAGCTATTTATAATGATTTCAATTTTAGCAGAAATTATCATTATTTTTACAATTTAGTTGTCAATAACAAGTCATCAATAATAAATCTAATATAAAAAATACTCCACTTTCGTTGAACTTCATCTTTAATATGACGAAATAGAGTAGAATCCATAGCCACACAACGGTAAAATGTGGCAATGAAAGGAGGAGGGTGAAGCAGAAACTCTATTATATTATATTTACCTTGTCATGAAATTAATGAATATATGTGTGTATGCAATAAGAAAACTGCAACTATCTAAATTCTTTTATCATATTTAAAAGATTGAATTAAAAGACAAAAGCACCGAGTTCATCATAATATTGTTAAACAAGTGTCATTAACAACGCGGTGGGAATCACATAGCGAGTTGCTGTAGCTACCTTCATTAGTTACTGTCTACCTGTCTCCGAATTCATTGATCATTAAGACGATTTAATAAGTTCGCGTGCCCCCATAAAAGTGAAGCAAGGTTAGTCCAAACTGGACATAATTTTAGCAGGGCCTGGTTGTGGACTACACATTCTTCACATGGTTAGGTCAGATTCGACTGCACCGTTTAGTACACTGATCGTTAAATGGAGGTTTGGGGGAGAAGGAGAGAAGAAGCACGAAAGAGAAGAAAAAAGAGAGAAAAAGGAAGAGGAAGAAGAGAGGGAAAGAAAAGAAGAGGATAATGGTTTTTTTTTTTTTCAAATATTTTACAATTCACATTTAAGATCCGATCCTTTTAAGCAATCTTGTTAGTTCAAGTGGAAATGCCATAATTTTAAAGGTTGTTATTTGTAATTTTCCCAAGTAATTTTACATCCCTAGTCAAGTGTTACAAGAAAAATAGTATAAAAAAAGTATTACAAGAATTTCGACTAGTAAAAGAAAATCACTCCTTCGGTGCAATTTGGGATTAATTTATCATTACATTCTTAATTTAAATTCATTACATGTCAACTTAAAAGCTTAGAAGTGTGAAATAAGAACCAAATGTCTTGCAATAATTTATAGCAAATTCACCATTATGCCGTTAATATTTAATCTGGTTTTTCATTTACTAGCTGCTTAGATCTAACGATCACTTGTTAGTCAATTTTTATTAATTGTTATGTTATTCTAGTCATTCATAATTAATGTTGCAATTGACTGAAGTATTTGTAAAACTAATCGTTATTCACTCATATCATATAATCATTTGGTAGTTAATTGTTGTCAATCACTATATTGTTTTAAATGAGTGTTTGTGAAAATAAGAGCCACTCAGTAGGGGGTGGGTGTTTGTGAAAATATTAGTCACTCGCCCAAATAGTATAATTTATTAGCTAATAAGTTGTTGTTATTTATTATTTCACTATTCTTGTAGTCATTTATGATTAATTTTGAGTTATTTGTGAAAAACTAAAATACACACAATTTTCGTAAATTTTGGGTCAGTTGTGCACAACTTCCCTAACCTTTAAATGTTTAAATTAAGAACACTGATGTTTGATGTTGTGACTATAAACTTCCCCACAGTTAAAATTACCATTAATTTTAACGGTTTTTGCATGAAATTAGAGATTTTTTTGGAATACTTAAAATAAAATAATTAAAAATATAAAATAATTTTAAAAACATTTAAAATATTTACCTGACCATATCGTTTTTTTAATAAAAAGTATAAAATACTTAAAATTGCATGTCAAATGATGACTATTATTTTCGTAATTGATATAGTATATAATAAAAATTCAAAAATTGTAACATGATAAAAATCATTAAAGTTAACGGTAATTTTAATAGCAGGAGGGTTTATAATCAAAACACAAAATATTAAGGTTCTTAATTTAAGCTTTTAAAGATTAGGGAGGTGACTAACCCAAAATTTAGGAAAGTTTTATGTATTTTAGCCTTTGTGAAAATAACCACTACTCCTTTAAATAATATTGCTATTAATTTAAGTATTGACGTGAAAAGTCTAATCTATTATTTAGCATTATATTATTGAGAAACTTTGGTAGTTCAATGGTTACATCTTTTTGTCCCCAAAAGGTGGTGAGAGGAAATTTGCCATCTTGTTAAAACAAACTGAGAGGTTTATAATCAATTACTAACTTCTTTTTTCCAACATCTTAACATAAATTTGGCAGCCACCGACACTGGCTAGTGGCTACCCACTACTGTCAGCAATTTAGAGGTGCACATGAGCAGGGCTGGGCTGGGCAGGGCAGGATAGGACCCCTGCCCGATACCCAACTCAAAGTATGAACAGGTTGTATTTTGCAGCCCGCTGCTCGGCCCTGCCCATAGAAGTCCTAACCATTTTGGGCTAGGCATGGACGGGCTGGGCAGGGTGAGCTTTGCTGTCCAAATGGTGATGACCTACCGATATTACATGTAAAAAAACTTTCGTCCATACCTAAAATTATCCAGAAATAATTCAAAACAAGTCTTAGCAAATATCCTAATAAATAATATTCATAATCTATTTAAAACAAAACAACTTTCAAGATTGTAATTAAAGTCTTGAAATTCAAACGGTTTGCATCAATCTCCAGAAAGTTGAGAAAAGAATAAAATATCTGAAAAAAATTGAAGAGGAGTTGAAGCACATTGAGATTAGGGGTGTTCAATTCGTCCCGTCCCGGTTCCGATGAGTTCGGGACAGGACGAGACAAAAAAAATTTTAGGACAGGACAGGTACGGGCCGAGCGGGACACGGGACGGGGCTGTCCCGTCTCGTCCCGTCCTAGGGTATTTTTTTTAAAAAAATTATTTATTAATAATTATTGATTATTTAATTTACTTATTAATAATAATTATTATTTTTATAGTGATTTTTAGCTCTTAAGTTGTAATATTATCTTAACAAAATCTCATTCCTTAATAAAATAATTCATAAAGACATTATATAGTGTTTTTTTTCTGTATTTTTTTACAGTATTATTTTTACATCTTTTTTATACTATATAATTGAGCTTTCTACATAATATTTTTTTATGATGTTTTTATCTTTAGAAGTCTAATAAAAAATAAGCATTATAACATAAAAAAATTCATATAAAAAATTATAGTATTTTTAAAAAAAAAGGGGGAAGGGGGACAGGACAGGACAGGACACGGGACAGAATCCCTGTCCCGTCCCTATTCACCGAGACGGGCCTGTCCCAGTCCCGTTTCGTCTCATGAACACCCCGAATTGAGATATTCCATTAAGAGCCGAGAATGGTGATATAATAGAAGTTTGATTATCCATTCAAGTGGCAAAAATTAAATGTTACCTAAAGGATTACAAAAGGATATTAAAATTGAAGCAATGGGCTAACAGAAACAACATAGACCATATAAAAATAAGGTGAAAATAATTGTAAAAAGAAAAATAAAAAATCTTATAATCTTATAATAATTTAATACAACCACTATTAATATGTAAATACTTATTACGCGATACAATACATGTAGCAGTCCATACAACTAAAAAACTTATTTCCATTACATGATTTGTTCATAAAAAATTAATACAAAATAACTAAATATAAATTAAATAAAAAATAAAACATGTAATTCAGATAATTAAACCCAATTTTCTTTCCATGCTCCTACCCTAATCTTGTTTTCTATCTTGTATAAATATTCAAAATTGTTGATTTATACAAATATGTAATGTATGAACTCCATTCTCTAACAAAGAAAGTTGTTAATGACATAAAGAGAAAGGTTGACTCACAAATAGCTAACATGACAGCAGCAATACACAATAAGATATACCTAGTAAAGTTCATGAAAAACAAGTTAAAAGTAAGATACTACTGCTTCATTAAAAGAATTAGATCTCCTAAAATGAAAAACTAATAAACATATAATAATAACAAATTAAATTGCAAAGAGGAGGGAGATAACTTTTTTTTTTTGGGTAAAAAAATGTAATATATTAATATTATTTCACAAATTATAATATATATATATATATATATATAATCCAGACAAGGCCAAATAGGCAACCCGGCCCATGAAATACCCAGTTCAGAGATGCCCATTCCTTTTCAGGTTCTTTTTTTTCCGGATTGGGCTAAGCAATTTTTCTTCTGGTTCAGGCGAACTCAGCGAGCATTTAGACCTCATGCACACCCCTAGTCAGCATCACCCTTAGTCAGCATCAGATGGAGGCTAACTTCTTTTTTTCCCCTCGTAAAGTGAGGAGAAAAACGCCAATTCACCAAATTCTGAAGTTCCAAATGAGTGTCTTTGGAGTGATTTGGGATTTTAGTGAAGTAGGGGATGAGTTGGGTTTTAATCATTTTAGGGCAATTAATTGACTTTTCCCCCTATTTGATGCTTGAAAAAATCAAATTCTGATTTATTAATTACCCAAATTATACAAGTATAAATTTACAATTACATTAAACTATGAAACATGTTTAAATAATTAAAATCCTCATTTCTCATTCTACTTTATCAAGCAGGAAACATTCTCCCAAGTGACTGAATTTTTTTTTTTTTTGGTATTTACTTGACTCTTTAATCAAGGGACAAATATAAATCAGATGCCCACAGTTGATTGCCCACAAGATAGCTCATAATCCAGGCCCGTAGTCAACTTATCCATTATTTGCGTTTTGCACAATGCACAGGCATGCTTTCAATGGCTGCTTAAGAGAAGTTTCTTACTCTTATCTGCCAAAGCCAGGTAAGCCTTAACAAGTTCCTCCTTGACCATGAATAGAACAGAAGCAGCAAAAACACTCTGCACTATCTTTGTGCTCATCCCCTTATAAAATCCGGGTAATCCCTCATAACGGATTATTTTAAGTATTGCATCGAAAGTACCTACATTCACAGCATTATTAGAAGGAAGGAATACATTGAGCACAGGGAGGAAGACAAACAACATGGTAGCTGTCCTCTTTCTTCAGATATTTCAAGATCATTAGTAAAGGTGGGTAGTGATATGAAATTGAAAATTGTAAAGAAGAGTCCGTTATGATTGTTACATATGATTGATATAGAGGGAAAGAAACATAAGGAGTTGAGGCAACACTCAGAAAAGTTCAAACAAGATGACTTTACCAAATAATTCGAAGGAAAAGAAACACAACTACTTAAACGAAATCATTCACTTAGTAACGGAACAGAAGCCGCTTAAATCCCATAGACTGGACGCAAATCATTTTGTTTCTTCAACGAGAACGCTAACAAAAAAGCAGAGGCATATCACAACAATGGCAGAGATGTCTTACACAGACAAAAAATATGGGAATCATAAACCAATTCATGTTTGTGACACTAGCCATCTTCCAAATCCACCCATTACCTTTCCCATGACCTCTGCCCACTCTTCCGTCAGTCCCTACAAGCCTTCCTAGTAACACCCACTTTAGGTCGATTGTATTCCACCGCCCAAAATGGTAAATTACTAGCTTCTATGGTCCTGTTCAATGATATTGACCACACCAACATCACCTCTCATTGATTCCGCTCTCACTTTGTGCATTTGTACATCAGATTAATAAATCATATCTGTTAATATTATCTGGTTTTATATCATGTATAATAATTTATTACCTTCGGTTTTTAATATAAAAACTAGTATAGAATTGTATTTGGTCATAAATATAAGACCTCAATCCACTTTGCCTCTCAAATTTATAATTCAATCTCCAAAATACCCCTATTGATTACACATGCCAAGGGGGTTTCCATCTAAGGGCAGTCATGATTAAGAAGATACTTTAAGAAATTCAACTCATATTTACTACAAATATCTAATTTAACAAACTTTATTAATCAACTCAAATTAGTTAAGTAGCCTTTATATTAAAGACCGGAGGTAATAATTCAGTACTAATGACAGCCAACATAATATATAATTTTTCCAACCATAATAGTGTTTTATTACACATTCATATGAAAGTAGGTAAAAAAATTAAAAATAAGATACGGATATATTTGTCCACATGTCAATATTTTTCCTTTCCCTCTCCTAAACAAAATAAGTAACACTAAAATCTCTCCCTTCCATTAAGCCCCTTCCCTCTCTCCCCTTCCATCTAACCAGACATAGTAAAACTTACGACACTGACTCACCGACAATAATATCGCACATCCTTAAAATAATTGAAACTTCCGTGACGACCATCTGCAGATAAGAATAGTGATAATACTTAAGAGATTTTTAGTGTGTCTGTATTTCGTTTTATCAAGGCCTACGTACGTTTAGCATATGGAACAAATTGTAGCTTCTTCACAAAAATTGCCTTGGAACACGTGATACTGGTTACTCAAGCATACGCGTTCAGAATTTAACAACCAATTCAAGCAATTAATGAATCTTGCAAAACGCAAACCTGAGTATCTTAACGAGCTACTTCCACCGATCTCCTGTTTAGCTTGAAGCCTTGACTGAAAGTGAGAATATATGAAGCAGTGAGGGACGCCAGAAATATATAAGAGAGAGGCAAATGAGCATACATGCTTACACCTGTGCCTGTCCTGACTGTTGAATAGTCAGTTATATACAAATTATTGCCAACAAGGCTGGTAGAGAACAACCATTAGTCGAATGTTTGTTACTTGTGCACGTGTGTTTCCAAGTCCTCGTGCTGAATACTCGACAAAATGAGATTATTGAAAGCAAATTTGCAACAGAATGAACTCCAGTTGCAAAATGATGCTTGGCATGGTTTTGGGCGCAAACTGATTTTTTTTAACCCAAGAGTCGCTTTAAAATTGAAGCAACTTTTTCCTACTTTTGGCTATTGACTTTTCCTCAAATTTAAACCTTTTCAAACCAACTTTTTAATATGTTATCCAAATAAGTTTCTGTCAAACTGACTTTTTTATAAAATTCTATCTAAATATGAATCATACTACCTCCTGTCTTTAATATAAAAGCTAGTTGACTAACTTAAGTAGATTAGGAAAACTAGTTAAATTAGTTATTTGTAATAAGTATTGTTTACCCTAAAATATCTTTACTAAGTGTATTGGCTAAAACTACTATTATCACAAGGACTATCATGAAAAAAAAAAAAAGATAAATATGAGAGACAAAATGGATTGAGATCTTATATTTAAGATTAAAATAAAAGTCAAACAAGTTCTTATATTAATGACCGGAGGTAATATTATACTAATTAACTCTTACTCCAATTTCAATTGGCAAAAATCAGTTGAGATAAAAGTCACTTTTGCAAATGCTAATACAAACAAGCCCACATATTGAGTTCAGGAATTCTTTATGTGAAAAATTGATTCATAAACTATAGAACAATATTCATTGAGGGTATAGTTTCTTTCAAGACGCTGATGAGGATGAATTGCACTTTATCACCATATTTAACAAAATATTATAATTAAATAGAAACATAAAAGAATAACTGATGAATTTACCTTGACAACCAACAGTGGATATGTTGAGACAGTAGCTCCAAGTTTTGCTAAGGCTCCCAGCATAAAGACCTTCATAAAAAAACAAGATGTTTGCTAACAAGCACAAACCGAAATAAACAGAACAAGCGACAATCAGTGGACAGGTGGTCGCACAACTTACTTAACACTTCAATCTTCTAAAAGTACTTTAACTTGTTCAGAAGAAATCTTTTTAGGCAGAAATAATGCAACTTCTCGGAGGATAAAATCTCCTCAAACCACAAATGACAAGAAAATCCTCAAAACAGAACAAAGAACAAAAGACAAGAGCTCTCCCATTCATTTGCAAATCAGATACAGTAACCCTTATGGGGAAAAAACCCTAGTGCAGAGCACTAAAGCAGTTACCATATCTCATACATACCTCAAAAGCAGTTACGTTTCTATTCCCCTGATTCTTAGCCACACGTTTTGCCTTTAAATGCTTCAACGAGCTCTCATAGATCATGAACTGGATCGATGGATTGCACACCTGGAATGAGATTTCCAATTTATAAGGGGTTTGGAAGCACTAAAATTGAATTTAGCACATCAAAATAAAGACGAGGCTCACCATAATCAAAGAAGGGATGACACCCTTCCAAAATCCAACAACACCAGCCTCACTAAAGATTTCATTTGCCTTGCATCCAAAACAAAAAACAGTGTCACCATAAACAGAAGTAAAACCACTTGAGTTTGGAAAGGCAACAATTTTACAACCACAAGGTCCACAGCCCTAAAAATGATGTATTTTTATTATAATGAAATCCATCTCAAGATGAACAATGATGCGTGACAGGAGGTAAATCAAAGTCATTAGCTGTTTACAACATAGATAATGAAGCATCTGAAATTGAAAAGGCAACCATGAGGAAAGGTGGGGCAAAAAGAGCAAGAGTTGACTAACACCTGATTAAGAGAAACACACGAAAAATAAATTTCTAATAAACATTGAAGTTGTTCTTGCAAGCAGCAAAAGCCAAAGAATTATTCTTCAAGATATGTAGAGCCAATATATATTACAGATATGTATGAAAGCAGTGAGAGAATGAAAGAAAAAGATGCCCATGCCCTAATCAATGTAAGACTAAGACCAAGGAATAAAGTTGAAGAAGCTAGAGACTAACCGCATGTACAGTACCATATGGTTGGGGTTTTATAGATTCCAGTTGAGCTAATTTTTCTTGCAATGTTGAATCAGCAGAACTGCTTTCTGATGCTTCTCTGCGCAAAGCTTCCTTCTTTCCCTCCATAATTTTTCTTTCTGCTTGAGTATGTGTCTAAAACCAAACAAAACGTCACACACAAAATGATTAAAAGGGAACCACAGCAATCTAAAAATATCTTTTGGCTTTATCTCCTTTGTTGTAACTTCCTTAATAAATATATTGATGTTCTGCAGGATATAATCCAGTCCATGCATAGAGTGGCTTGACAACTTTTGTATCCATCCAATCAAGATCCAGGTTCAAAAAATGTTTTGAAAAATCAACAGAATCCAAACCATAAAACTTGGAAAACAGGGGAAACAAAGATGGAGACTCTCCAAGGCATTTGCTGCATTCTGTACCCTTCATGCGAGTGAAAGTATATTAGCCTATTCACTTGCTACATACCAAAAATTGATGGATAAGTGTAGATACCATGTAACACGGATATTATTTTACCGACAATAAAAAAAATAAAGCAAATTAATATAGAACTAGGGGGAATTAAAAAGCACCTGCATGCGAGTCACTATAACCCATATTGGGTTGGTAAACAGAACATTCAAGGACCTGCACAACCAAACATTCGGAATACAAAATCAAACAATTATGATCTGTTCACTGTAGACCATAAGTAAAAGTAACTGACTTTCCTCGTCAGTCAGGTTAAGTATTGCATATAAAATAGGGGTCGCATGCGCGAGCGCGCGCGCGAGAGAGAGAGAGAGCATGCATTTTCTGCGAAATGTAACATTTTAATGGACGTGGCGTCATAAATAGTCACCCAGCAATAGCAGCCACGGCAAGCCACCCAAGCATGCCAACAGTACCATCTCCATGTCCTTTGACTTTGCGGGCAGCAGCAATGGCTACAGCCTTATTTTTAAAAACTTGATAAAAGTAGTAGTAAATGCCCTGATAGAAATTAAAAAATATACAATTTAGATCACAGCCAACAGACCAATGAAAAGCGTGCATAAGAGCTTGAATGCTATTCATTTACGCATGTTATAGCTGAATAGTTAGATACGTAGTTAAAATTGACACTAAGGGTGTTAGAAATCCCAGAGAATTGACATGTTGAGTGGGTTCATGTTGTTAGATTCAGGGAGCATTCCCTGATAGCAGAAACTCATTACATCAGTTCAATAAACAACAGAAACTGCCTCCAACTACTGTACGGACAAAGAGGAGTAATGAGCTGAGGGATGTGACCTGAGAAGCAGCGGTTCCAAGGAGAGAAGGCTTGAGGCCACTGTATAGTCCGCCCCACCCCTCGCTTTTAACAACCTAACAAGGATTCATAACCACAGTATCATCAGCAAACACTAAATAGGTGAAAAAGAAGCAAGACACGAGAGAGAAAGAGCAAAATTTGTACCTGAAGGATCTGAAGAAGCGTGTTAGGGGAATGAGGAAGGCCCAGCTTCTTGCCCTTGAGCGTTCTCTCGGTTTGCTGGCGAGTATTTACCTGCCATGGAAATTGAATTTGATAAGGGAAAGGCAAGTGGGGGAAGAGAAGCAAGGGGGTAGGGTACCGTTTGAAGAGGATAAGTTATGATTTGAGCAATAATGCCACCGCCTGCACCGGCCAGCCCGTTGGCCACAGCATTAGATTCTGACATGATTAGTTATATGCTGTCTTCCTCTTCTTCTTCTTCCGATGACTTAGTCTGCACTCCCAGTCTCTGTGGTAGAGTTTGACGCATGCACCCCAGAGATGGGCGGAAACATGGACATTGAGTCACTTGACTTCACCTGGTCACACGTTAAGGGCATGTTTGGTTTGAGGGGAGGGTACGGGAGGGAGAGGTAGACGAGGGGAGGGGAGGTCATCCTCATCTTGTTTGATTTGATTAAAAAGGAAAGGGGAGGAGGATATTTAATGATTCCTTGTTTGGTTCAAGGAGGGGAGAGAAGGGATAGTAATAATCAATTTATCATTTTACCCTTACATATTAGTTTATGTTTTTTTATTGATATATTATATAAATTAATTTACATCTTAATTTAAATCATATAATTTAATAAAAATTCAGTCTTATCATGTTAATATGTGTATTAAAAAATTGATACAGTAATTTTTTATTCTAATTAATATAATAATATATTTAAAATAATCAAATTAACAAATTTTATATGCTCTAAGAAAAATGAAATTTTATTCTCTTTAGGCTATCTTTTTTTTCAGCTTTAAAATATATTTAATAAATAATATATTTATTAAAAAAATTAATTTTATAATATTATAATTTTTTATTTAAATAATTTTTTATTTTTAAATATTTTTTATAATATATTTTTAATTATAATAACGTATATATTTTTTATTTTTTACTTAGGATAATATATTTTTTATTTGAAATAAATATTATAATAATATATTTTATGGATAGAAGTGGAATATTAAAAAATATATAAGGGCATAATAGTTCAAAAATTTGGCTCCCCTCCAAAATTTTTAACCAAATGAGGAGAGGGGCTCCCTCCCCTCCCCCCAACCAAACAAACCCTAAGAGATTCAAAGGATTTTTTTAGTTGAGAATAATTTTGTATTTACCCAAATGCCACCGACATTTTTTTTTTAAATTTTTACTTTTAGGGAAGTTCTAGGGTAAAGGAAGGGGGAAGGAGGGAGTAGATATAAAGGGATGGGGTATCGATTATAAGGGTGTTTGGATGGAAACCAAACCATGGTTTCAGAAGTAATTTTACGGTTTACGAGGTAAATATGTGGAGGAGTTTATCTCGATTTACGAAAAAGTACTTCTAAGAAACACTTTTCAGGGTATCCAAACACCCCCTATAACGAAAAAGTACTTCTAAGAAACACTTTTCAGGGTATCCAAACACCCCCTATAAGTTTCTCCAAACTTCAAAAGAAGGGCGGCGTGGCAGAAACTGATAAAACGGGTGTATTTACTTCAACATCTTGGTTAATAGTTCCCATAGTGCAACGTTTAGGTAAATATGTTTACTATTTATAGTATTTTAGTAAAAATGTCCGTTTTCATTACATTGATGATCCACGATTCGAGGGTTTGAATTTTTTTTTTGAAAAGAAATATTTTACAGATATAACTGAATGTATCAAACTTTCATTTGTTAGCTAATCACGTTTTTTAGATAAATAAATATGCGAGAATCGTTTTAAGATGATGTGTCTCCAATATTTTTTTCATAACGTGTGTCCAATATTTAACATCTATTTGGCTGTGATATTTATAAAAGATCAAGTATGTCTCCCTTGCAATTTTAATGGATAAGTAGGATTGTTTACAACTTATGAATAAGAGGGGTAATGGACTTACATTATTGTATTTATCTCAATTGAAGATTGATGATATTGATAAAGAGAATTCCTTTTTTGGGATGAAAATTTAAAAAAAAGTGTCTTTAATATTTGGAAAAGTTAGTCTCCTAGTTTCTCAACTTATAATTCGATCTCGTGCATAACACTGGCATCTCTTTTTCCCTCTGAGTTTGCACGCTCCTCTGTTTTGCCTTCACTTCATAGGCCCAAACCAATGATCGAGGATGATGACAGATTATGACCCACAAGGACAAGGCCTTAATATTCGCAACATCTTGGTTAACTTCAGTTAACCAATTAAATAACATTATATCGGTTTCTTTAAAAAATTTGCGTTCTTTTTGCCCCGTTCATTATTGATGAGCCGCTAACAAAGATGAGGTTAAAAAGGACTATTTTCTACTTTTTATATAAAACAAATAAGACATGCATACTCGGGTAATGTGAAAAAAGGTTGAGATTTTCAATTTAGGAGATAAAACTTAGAAATTTGAACATTGAAATAAAAATAGTAGAAGGTGAGGCAAGTATAAAGACATGATGATAAACATGCGACTTCCAAGTTGATGGCAAAGCGAAGCTGCAATTACCATGAATCAGAAGAGGGGTTGGGTATAATGGAAAACTGCCCCAGCAAGCCCAGCTCTGGATTCATTCCTTCTTTCCATTACCTATAATAATAATCAAGGTTGACCGCATCTGCACATATGATCATAACATGATTGTTTGATACAGCGCTGATGATGAGATTAGTTGGGTTTGGGGACAATACCTGACGTTTTGCTCATTTTCCTTGCCGCTTACAAAGGAATACTAGACTAAGATGGAGTTGAAAGAGTGTTGCTAATCTTCTGCTTATTACGATGATGAAGCTATGGTGAGGATTACATGCCGTTGGTTTTTTTTGGAGGAATGGTGGATTGTGAAGTAGAGGATAGAGGTAAATCGAGCAGCTCTACTCGTGAGGTGGAAGATCAAGAAGTGAAGCTAATTTAGAGAAGTAACAAGAATCGGAGGCTATATGGTAGTGCGTTGGTAGGGAAAATTGTTACGGATAAGAGCATCCATAAGTCTACTATGATTCGAATTATTCAGAAGGGATGCAATCTAGAGAAGCGTGAAGATGTGGAGATTATTGAAGTGGATGCTCATGCATTTGCCTTTGAATTTCGTCGAAAGGAGGATTTCCTGAGGATACTTCGCGGTCGTCTGTGGTCAATCCAAGAATTATTATTGAATGTTCAATTATGGCAAAAGTTTATGGTGTTTAAGGAGATTGACTCTAATTACTGTCTATTTTGAATACAATTTAATGACCTCCCCCTTAAAGGCAAGCACGCGGAGAATGCAATCACTCTTGAATCGGCAATCAGCGAGGTTGTGAAGGTGGAGAATCCAAGATGAGGTTTTTTTTTTTTTTGGTGAGAAACTTCTTGCGGGCCAGAGTGCTTGTGGATCTAAGAAGGCAGTTGATTATTGAGAAGAAAACTCTGCGCCCTGATGGAGATTCGGTAAGGATAAAGGTGAGGTCTGAACGGCTACAGAATTTTTGTTACAAATGTGGTAGGTAGGTCATGACCAGAGAGCCTGTCCTGATCAGGATGATGAGCAATCTAATTCTATTCTTGTATTTCAGAATTGGTTAAGTGTGCAAGCTGCAAAGAATATGGACACTGAGACTATATGTTGCAAGGAGGGCTGGATGGAGAGCAAGAATGGCTCGAATGATAGACGTTCAACTAATTTGAAGAAAGTTCATAATGCTAGGTTTAATAGCAGTTGAAGGGGTAATGCAAGCAGAAGAAAGGAGGATGTGAGCAGTGTTTTGGCAAAGGTTAATGTAGAAGGGGAAAATAAGGAGACTGTGTACCCAGAGTATATTGGTAAGAAGACTAAGGGGAAGGTCCTTGGGAAAAGGATCATAGTAAGTGATGTTATCAAGGATAATGTGAAGAAGGACTGTCAGATTGTTGAGCCCCTAGCAGTGAACATAGAGGTGAAGAGGTTGATTAGTGCTGGGTCACATGGCCAGAGTGAAGATATGCCAAAGGCTCTGGTAGTGTATAGAAATATGTCGCCAATGTTAGAGGTTATAAGGGCTGTGAGGGGGAATTAGGCTAAAAAGGGAACTGGAATATGTAGCTAAAAATGAAAGGATGAAAGGAAGGAAGATTAATTTTGATGATGCACTACTTAAGGCAAAAAATGAGGAGTTGAATGAAAGGAAGGCTGTAGAAAGAAGTGTGAGGGTTTTGAAGAAGAGGATTAGGAGATCGAAGGTATTTGGCCGTAAGTCTGATACTACTCGTAATGTCTCTAGTAAGGATTATGGTAGTAGTTTGATGGTTGAAGGTGATAGTGGCTCGCCTTTAACAGCCACCAAGGAGCCATGATTTACCTAGTGTGCAACTATCAAAGATTGGGAAGGGCCTTGACAGTTAAAAAGTTGAGGGAAGAGAATTTGAGAAGAAATCCCTTGGGAATCTTCCTAATGGAAACTAAGATGAAGAAAAAGAAGGTAGAAACTGTTAGGAAAAGTGTTAGATGGATGAGATGGTAGTAGTGGAGCCACAAGGTCAAAATTAGAGGCGGCAAAACAGGCCAAGCCCGTCGGGTTGACCCGTTTAAGACTGTTTAAGTTGAGGGCCGGGTTTGTAACTTGGAACCTTCAAAAAGAACTTGAACTTAAAAGGACTAACCCTATAGGGCTGAAAAATAAACGGGCTGGCCCGTTTAAACCTGCCATCAGTAATTTTTTTCTTAATTTATATTTTTTTTCTTGACCCTAATCTAAGCCCCTAACATTTTACACACTCTTCCTCTCTAAATTTTACTTTTAGTCTTTCATTCACTCTCAAGTCTCTAATGATATTAAAATAAATAAAAATATATTCTACATATCCTAAATTAGATTTCAAATTTATATTTATTTAAACCAACATTTATATATTAAAATAAACAAAATATATTTCCCGCATTAAAACAAAAATTTTAATTATTAAACCAACAAATATGTATCAATTTGTATATATGTTATAAAATTTTAATAAGTAAGTCAACACTTTTTCTACAGTAACTATATCAAAATTTTTACTCTATATTTAAATAGAGTTGGACAAGTGAGCTAGACAAAAGTAAAGAAGACCATCCAGAATAAAAGCATACTGTACATCAATCCAAAGTGCTAAGATATTCAGACTTTCCATGAGATTGCACAGTAAAATGATTTTCATAATTAAAGCTTGAGGAAAAAAAATTACCTCCGATCCTAATTATAAAACCTCATTTGTTTTTATAATTAGGACCAAAGGTAGTAAGTAGTCAACACAGAATCAATCTCCAGTGGTTGCTAAGTTGAAACCTCTAAAACAAATTTAATATTAATACTTTTAAATAAACTTATTAGTGGGAAAAAAATTCAATTCAAAA